GGGTGTTAAAGTGCGACTTACTTGGGTCGATGGCTAAATTGGTTAACGTGGTTGTGAAATGGGGTGTTAAATTGCGACTTACTTGGGTCGATGGCTAAATTGGTTAACGTGGTTGTAGGAGGGGGTGTTAAATGAGTGAACACGTACACACGTATGCGAAAGGGCGGCGCTGGTCGAAGGGACGTCGATCATTGTGTTTGTGGATTCGTTGGAATTCATTTCACCGCGACCTTGGACGTCGGCGCGCCGTACAAACCAACCGACGAGCGGCAACTGAGCGAGCGAGCGCCGACCTTGAGTATATATATAGCGCGACGGCGCATGCACTGTCAGCTGTCGAATGTTCGAGAAGGGGGAGAAGTGCAACGGCGCATGCGCGCGCGTCAGCTGCCGATGTTCTCGAAGCGCGACGGCGCATGCGCGCGCGTCAGCTGCCGATGTTCTCGAAGCGTGACGGCGCATGCGCGCTACATTATACAGCTAGCGAATGTTCGTGAAGAGGAGAAGCGCACGCGGTGTGTAGAGGAGGAAGGGTGCACAGATGGTGGAGGAGTGAAGCGCGCGGTGTGTAGAGGAGGAAGGGATGCACAGATGGAGGAAGAAGGAGGAGGAAGCTTGCGGACGGCGCCGCACTACAAGCCTCGAGTATTAGATGCTCCGCATCTATAAGAATTATCGAACTTGGCACACGGTAACAGAAGTTAGCCTTTGAACTTGAAAACACCAGCAGACGACAAAAAAAAAATGTTCCCTTTCGCATTTCACTGTCCCACTGATGTCAAAGGCAGTCTCTTATCATTGTGCACCTGTACAACTCGCCTTGTGCTGGCCTGGTGGTGGATAGAATCACTGTATATCAGAAGCAAAGTTGCACATAGTTCTGCCATCTTGCCAGGCTAGGAGCCATAGCTGTTTTTCCAGGCAGCTTGCGTAAGCCTGTTGCGATCGACAAAGCGTGTTTCCAGTTGACATGTCAACGACCGGCGATGAAAGAAGAAACACCTGCACTTAGGGCTCTGTCACACGAGTACGCAAGCAGTTTTAGTCCATCCGGTAACACAAAGGCAAAGCATTATGCCGAATAATATTTGCCGCTACGTCAAGTGGTGCCAGCTGTGGAGAATAACAACAACATTAGAGTTCAATCAACCAAAAGATTTCACACAGACAATAGACCATATTTATACTATCGATCGGGTGATAGAGAAATGTGTGGAATACAACCAACTTTTTTGCATAGCCTTCATAGACTACAAGAAGGCGTTTGACTCAGTCGAGACATCAGCAGTAATGCAAGCACTGCAGAATCAAAGCATCGAAGAAACCTACATGAACACACTGGAAGTAATTTACAATGAATCCACAGCCACCACAGTTCTCAAAAAGAAAGCGACAGAATCCCAATAAAGAAGGGTGTACGGCAGGGAGACACAATCTCTCTAATGCTATTTAGTGCATGTTTGCAGAAGGTTTTCAGCGGCCTAGATTTGGAAAAGTTAAGAATAAGAGCTAATGAAGAGTATCTTAGTAACCTGTGGTTCGCCGATGACATCGCATTGCTGAGTAGCTCACGAGACGAATTCCAATTTACGATTACTGAATTAGACAAGGAGGACAGAAAGGTAGGTTTTGAAATTATTATGCACAAAGCTAAAAGTAATGTGCAGCAGTCTTGGCAGAAGACAGCGCTTCGCGGTAGGTGGAGAGATGAAAGTGAACTATCTACTGTGGACAGGGAGCACCCTCGGAGCCGAACCATGAGGGTGAAGTAACTTTAAGAATAAGGATGGGGCGGATCACAATTGGCAACCATTCTCAAATCAGTGCTAGGCTTGTGCGAATATTTGAATAAATAGTACAGTATTCAAATTCGCTTCGATTTGAATTTAAAATATAGAAGATTTCGAAGTATTCGCAATGAACAAAAAGGTGTGTATTAGTCCGCATGTAATATCCTGTAAAGGTTGTTTGTTTGTTTTTTTCGGTGTATGAATGCTAAGCCCTGAAAGCACCTAGCCAAGAGAATTCCGCTCTGCCATGAAGCCCCACTACAAATTTAAAGAGGCCCTGCAAAACTTATTGAACCTGGTCAGAAAACGCTGCCAGTCGAGGCTACCGAAAACACGTGAGCCAAATATCATAGCGCAGCACACGGCCTGGAATTGAGAGTAAATTCTCAAAGTCAGCTAAAAATTGCTTTCTCCTCTTTCAACAAATGACGAATTAAGCTTAAAAATCACTCGTCACAGCCACTGTATCAGCCATTGGCTGACATGACACGCTCGGTCGTTACTGAGGTCGCCAGGGGAGGCCGTGACTTGTCCATGCATACGTGCGCGATCGCACTGAAAATCTGCGTGTTCGAAGAAAAAAAAATGAGAGAAAAAGTGCTCAAGGTCGGACGAGGCACGCGTGACTGAGGCACACGCGACGTTTTTTTCTTTCAAAATGCCATTTCTCCGTGCTTTGCTTCCAGCGTTTTCGGTGGGACAAGACAATAGAAAATGCAATTGAAGTGTGTGACAAATCTTTGCAACTCTGCTCATACTAGATGTATTCTAAAAATTTTTGCAGCGGTGATTTCGTGAGCCAACAAGCTTCTTTAGTAAATTTATTACGTTGCTACTTGAAACTAAGAGCTGCAAGGCCCCTGTAAATGAGCATATTGCCCTCAGATGAATTTATCATTTTTTTCAAGCCTTAGAGATTGTTATACCGGCTTATAATCTATGAATAATAAATTTTAAAATGTTACATGTTTTACAGGTTATCACTTATTCTCCTACTACTCGAAGTTGTTTCGACTTCCTTTTAATGAAAAAAAAAGAAATTTGCATAAAGGTCTTAGTTCAATTAAAAAAATATTTTGTAGGTTAGTTAGGTCATGATAAATATACCTATTTTTCTTTATATGTCATATATAGTATTTGCATTAGATCCGAAATTATTCGGCCAAAATCACTATTCGCTTCAAATTCGTTTCAAAACTAAATTTCACTATGCACACAAGCCTATAAATCACAAATGGTAACTTACCACTAACCCTCAAAAATAGGTATACTATAACAACTGCATCTTGCCAGTACTTACCTACGGAGCAACAACCCGGAGGCTTACAAAGAGAGTTTAGCTTAAATTGAGGACGACGCAGCGAGTGATGGAAAGGAAAATGGTAGGTGTAACCTTAAGAGACAAGAAGAGAGCAGAGTGGGTCAGGGAACAAACCGGGGTAAAGGATATCATAGTTGAAATCAAGAAAAAGAAACAGGCATGGGCCGAGCTTGTCGGCAGGAAAATCGGTGGTTAACTGACTGGATTCCCAGAGAAGCCAACGCAAGAGGGGGAGACAGAGAGTTGGATGGGACGATAAGATTAAAAAGTTGGCAGGTATATAACGTGGCAGCAGAAAGCACGAGACAGAATCCCAATAGTTGATTGGCGGATAATTGGTGGATCATGGGAGAGGCCTAACAGGCAATGACGCCGCCATGGTGCAACATTTGGCCATCACTTTGCTAATAAATGTTATGGTGAGTTGAAGCTATGAGACAGGTTGTTTTTTTTATGGCGCATAGGGAATTAGGCTAGAGCTAGCCAGCTCAGAACAAGAAGGCAAATTTCACTGCAGTGGCTGATGATGATAATAACTTAACTTGCAACACATCCCCTCGCACTTGCGTAAACTGGCTTATATCACCCTAATCCGTCCTAAAATAGAAAATGCATTAGTCATTTGGGATCCCGATCAAGACTACATTATTCAAAACATCGAAGCCCTGCAGAACTGTGCTGTACGTCTTATTTTTTTCTGATTATTCACGTCACACCAGCGTCACTTCTTTGAAATTTTGTGCCGAACTGAAACTCTTATCATGTCGCCGTAAAATTGCTCGCTTATCACTACTTCATAAGCTCTACCATCACACATCGCTTCACGAGGACTTCTTCAGGCCACCCCCTGACATCTTTCCGCTCCGCGATCATCCCTTTAAAATCGAACGCTTCCCTTGTCGCACATTTCATTACGCTAGATCCTTCATACCACGCACAATAACCGAGTGGAATGACTTACCATCAAACATTGCAACCGTCACCGATATCACTGTATTTCAGAACCTACTAAACATGAGTGCAAACGTGTGAACCTTTTGCGGTATCCCCCCCCCCCCCTCCCTTTCTTCTGCAAACCGTGTTTTCTGTATGAACTGCGTATGTTCATGGTTCGTGTCATTTTTTTGCTGTGTTTGCCTAATTCAGTATTTAACACGTGCTATTGGTGATATTATCATTATTTTATGCTTTAATGGCGCGTGTGCTTGTAGTAAGCTAGATTGTGTTTTATTTTACTCTTGTGACTCTATTTCCTTCCTTGTTTAGATCAATTTTGAAGTATTTTTATAGTTTCGTTATTGTTTGACTAATATTATTTATTCTGATTATTTAAGACTAGGCGGTAAGAATATTGACCTTATATTTACTCTAATCTATTTAGCAGCTGTATGGTGTTTAGTTTGCGTGTTTTCTGGCCCTATTAATCATTTCACGTACCTGTACGTGTTATAACACCCCCTATGTAATACCCTCCTAAGAGGAGGGCCCTTAGGGTTATTCTGAATGAATGAATAAATAAATAAATGACAGTAACTCTAGTGGTGGCCATTGTGCAGTGCTCGAAAGAGGAATAAATAAGGTCAGCTAAATCAATCACGCCGCAAAAGAAACAAAATGCACGGTGTAGCTTCCACACTCGTGGTAGCTTGCGAATATCAAAGTCATTGTTCTGTCTAACAAAGAAAATATGAACCCTTTTCCTCCTTTTGTTCATTATACGAGAGACATATGAACGGTTCACAATTTTGGTGCTCCCTGTCACTTCCCAGGAAACTGAAGGTTTGTTTGCTTGTTGATTGATTGATTGTTTGTTTGATTGATTGATTGATTGATTGATGGATGGATTGATTGATTGATTGATTGATTGATTGATTGATTGATTGATGCAGATGGCCTGTGGCGATGAGGCGTCCTGAGCAGCGTCGGGTCAGTCGGAGCCTTCTTCCCCCAACAGCCGGTGGCGGCGGCCCATGCCGACCTCCTCGTCGTGTTCGCTGGCCCTGCCACTGTTGCAGACGGCCGACGACGAGCAGGATGGCTACTGCACCACCACTGCCGCGGCGGACGGCGGCAAGACGTACTCCAACGGAGTGGTCGACGAAGAAGACGAAGACGGCACCACCTCTTCTTCGTCCGGTCACTCGTGGGAGCTGTACAAGGGCCTCGCCTTCTCCTCACTGTCAAGCTTCTTCTTCTCCATATGCACCGTCATCGTCAAGAGACTCAAGTACGTGCCACGCGCTTTTCGCCTCCGTATTACCTATGCATTGCACCTTGCTGAAAACACTACCTGTTAAGTCATCGCCTGACAGACCTGTTATGCCATTTCTGTTTGGGAACTGATACCGTAACGCTACGTAACTGGATAAACAGGTCCAATAAGGCATTTCGTCTTTTATCCCAACGAAAGCGATCCGCCAGGAAAACGTTGTATTTGAATAGTACGATAGCAATAGTAGGGAGGCACATTTATGTGGAGGCGCCCTCGCGTCTTATGTTCTATATGTGCGAGTGAAATGTCAGGGCAGCCGACAATAGCGGCTTAGGCGGAGAGAACACGAGCCAGCCGTATCCATCGCGCGAAAGGTATACAAAGGGTCCCGGAGGGAGGCTGCGTAATTCTGGCAGACAGCGTACTTTGAGCAGCCGGGCGCGGTCTTGACAGGAATCAGCAAACGGCTCATACCTTTGTGTTGAATACACTCGAAAGACAGCGCAGACAGAACGCGGGAACAGAGGAAAGAGGGGACAGCGCCGTGGTTTGTCCGTTCTGTGAGCGCGTTGTGTGCGCTGTTTTTCAAGTGCGTTCAAGTATACTTGAACGGAATATAATCCTGAAATAGCCCGGTTCTTTACAGCATATATCATGCCATTGTACGTGCCTTGTTCTGATCACTCAGTGGTGAAGCGATCGCCTGCACGATGGTATATGTACATGTTGTTTCAAGAAATGTGTCCAATATTGTTTAAAAATCAGCGACTATATATATACGCAATAGTTATTCGCTGTCTTCACCGCTGCCTTTTCTGTAGCAGCAAGCATCTCAAGAGGGTTGAAGACATCCTTCGTAACAGTAATTAGGAAAGCTAAATTATTTACCTTTTAATTAGTGCGGTTAGAGAGTTAAGTCCAATGAGAGAATTGAAGTCCCTCATTCGAAGAAGCGATTGCCGCTTTGAGATTTTGGGAAAGGACCCTCTAATAATAACTGCGAATCAATGAAATTCTCCCAAATCCTACGGTGAAACCGAAACCGAAACGCGAAAGAGCACAACTGAAATGAGGGACGCTGTTATATCAACCATCAACCAACATCGATCGTTGCGTAGGCTGCAGCATGCGCTCGCAATTACAGCACGCATGACGCACTTACCTTAACGAACGGGGAAGAACTGCACCCATTTAACCGCTGTTTTGCACAGTGACGTCATTGTAGTCATCTGCTTATTGCGCTCATCTGTCCTTTGGTTTCGGTTACGCCACAAAATTTAGGAGAATTTCATTATTTCGTAGTTATTACCAGAGACCGCTCTTCCGAAACCTCAATGCGCCAATGGGTTCTTCGCATCAAGAACTTCAATTCTCTCGTTTGACTTAACTGCTTAACTCCACTAATTAAAAGTCAATTTACATTTTCTTATTACTGTTCCGAATGATGTGAATAAGCAGTTGTGAAGACAGCGAACAAATAGCGTCGTTTGTTGATTTTTAAACAGGATTGAACATATTCCTTAAAACACCACATAAATTATATATATAGTATATCCTCCATGAGCAGTCACAACGAGGTTTATTTCGACGTTTCAGCCAGAGTCTGGCTGAAACGTCGAAATAAACCACGTTGTGATATATATACATATATATATATATATATATATAGTGAGAGAGAGAGAGAGAGAGAGAGAGAGAGAGAGAGAGAGAGAGAGAGAGAGAGAGAGAGAGAGAGAGAGAGAGAGAGAGAGAGAGAGAGAGAGAGAGAGAGAGAGAGAGAGAGAGAGAGAGAGAGAGAGATGGTTTCGGTGTTTGTCAACAAACTGGCTCTCACCGAACGGCCTACACCAGCAGACTTTCGGTGCGGCACTTCCGGCAAATGCTTTTTCAAGGTCCCGCTGGTGTTTTCGTGGTGTGTTTCAGTTTCCTGGCCTTATATTTCTCGCGCATTTCTTAGGATGTGTTTGAAAAGCAACGTCTGGCGGCTACATGAAGGGACTTGACGTAGCGCATGGCCGACGGGCGCCTTGCAAAATACACGTCGTGACGTTCCGATGAGCGCGGCTCTCTGCTCCGTGTGGCCTGCTCTGAGAGTGGTCGCGCCTATTCACCTTTTCATAAACGCCTCCCTGGGCGCTGCCATAGCCCTCTTTGGGCTGTGCAAATTGGCGCGTCCCCTCGAAAATGCACTGACAACGCTGCGCCCTTAGCCTTTGTACTCCCGCGCACAGCCCATCATGGCGGTGTTTTTTCCCTTCCTGTGAAAATGTGTATACAAAGAGAAAATTCCTAAATTGTAGGAGACGTTTGTCAGCGAACTTAATTGAGCCAGTTGGTTCTGCATGCCGACGATGTGGATGCGCTTTGAAGACGCAGACCGGGAATTTACAGCGCACACCTGTCTTTTTCCTGTCCGCGTCTTCAAAGCGCACCCGCACCGTTGACATGCAGGAGAAGACTTGCTCGATTCATAGTAAAGTTGTTCAATTCAGCTTTTCGACTAGAACTTTAAGTCTTCCTCCTGTTAAACCCCGAACATATTTGTGTTTTCGTCTGAGCACGCAACCTCAGGATAAAACGCTTATTTCTGCGTCTGTGTCACACCGCACTTTGTAAGGAGATCAGCGGCGATCAGAATCACTCGCAATCTGAAGTGTTCGTGTGACTGAGGAATTATAAAATGTGCTGACGTGATAAGTCAACTACGGCTGCAGGGTTACACGAACTATTATGGTTTACTCGCGAGTAAGCAATTCATGAATCAAACTTTCAAGTCGAACGTATACGTAAATCTACAGTCTATGTTCATACCCAAAATATAAATTAGCTTGAATGCGGCGATGTTCCTTAGCGACAAAAAGACAGGCGATGAGTCATATTTGCTCGCACAGATGAGAGCCCACTCGACGCGGCATCACTTGAAAAATAATCAAATGCAACGACAACGAAACGTGGACACCACGGCGTACATGTTGTGCGGCGATTCATGTTAGGCGCGGTTACTTTGCGTCCCGTGTTGTGTCGAACAGTACACATCATTGATATCGCTCCAACTATAAGATGAACAGCTTTGCGATGAATTTTCAGTGTTAGCTTTCACGTTTCGCTACCCGTTTGAGGCGTCAGTACGCTTGTTTGCCACGGGTGGAAGAGGACAGCGACCGGTGTGTTCCCGGTAACCGGGGGCCTTCAATTAGTCTAACGTCTGAGTATCGCCTCTGAGCCATTAGTCTGCGCTAAGCTTTACACTGCCTTTGATGAAGTGGGCAAAACAAACCTAAGTGCCCTTAGCGAGATTCCAGATTTTTTATTTTTTTTTGCGTGATCGCTACAATGCAGGCGCTCTTTCTATCGTCATTGGTCAGAAAACAACGTTATGACTGGCATATAAAATTAATTCAGGCATGTAGACTGCATCCTGTCTTGACACAGCTGTGCTCGAGTTGCCAGCGCTTCACCGGAATAATTTTATGTGCATAAAACATCTCAACACAAGCAGCCGCGGCCAGCAACAAACGCTAAAACCACGCAAGAACAAGCTAAAACGGAAGTTTTCAGGGGCGGTTTCCGCTGAACGCACAATGTTGCAAGAGACCGGCAGGCTCTGGCGAAACCGTCTATAACATTCAACATGTGCTTTCGTTTTTATATACCGTATTTACTCGCATAATAGACGCACTTTTTTTTCAGAAAATCCGGCTTGAAGTTAGGGGTGCGCCAATTACGCGGGGTAAAATTTTTGAAAATTTTTACAACTCGGTTCTCGCGCTTTAAATCTGCACACTTGTCAAGTAAAAGGCGACCTTATCGTTTACCAATTAATTCAGCATAAAACAAACATACCTACGTACCTTTTAATGAACAAGCGAGAGCCGTCAACTGCACACACACACGTAAAATTTATTTACACAAAAGTCGTAGCTGTTCCTCCTTTTCCCTATTCGGAGTCCGAGTCGGAGATCACACATTCATCCTCGCCGAGCGGGGATTCGTTTTCGGTGTCCGAATCATCCGCACCCCACAACATGTCATCCTCACTCGCATCCAGTGCGTTCGAGATACCCGTCTTCTTGAAGCTTTTCCTGACGACTTCGTCGGAGATCGCCTGCCACGCTTCCACGATCCAAGCGCACAGCATTTCCACAGGCGGCCTCTTAATCTTACCACCTGTAGTCAGCTGATGTTGTCCTCCAGCCATCCAGGTGGTGTACAGCCTTCGAACATTGTCCTTGAAAGGTTTATTCAAGGACACGTCCAAAGGCTGCAGTATCGATGTGAGGCCGTTCGGAATCACTGCCAGATCTGTGCGCAGCTCCTTTAGCTCATCTCGTACGTGGTCTACTAGGTACCCACGAAAACTGTCCAGGACAAGCATGGACGGCAACAACAGACCACCCGGCCGCCGACCCCAGACTGTTTTCACCCAATCCACCATGAGTTCCGCGCTCATCCAGCCTTTTTCCTGGACTCTGACGTTGATGCCTTGAGGGAATTTTGCCTTTGGGAGCGTCTTACGTTTAAAAATAACGTAAGGCGGTAGCTTACGCCCATCCGCTGTCACCGCCAGCATTACGGTGCATCGTTGTTTATCAGCGCCAGACGTTCTGACGATGACGCTCCGTGCACCTTTCTCCTCCACTGTCGTGTTCCACGGCATATCAAAGCAAAGGGGGGTCTGATCAGCGTTGCCGATCTGGGACAAAATGAAGTCTTTCTGCTGTCGGAGCTTTATAACAAAACTGCGGAAGTCCACCACTTTGTCCTCATATGCTGCGGGCAAGCGCTGGCACAAGGTGGTCCGCCTTCGCAGTGCGAGGCCATGACGCCGCATGAAACGAGCTGTCCATCCGGAGCTGGCTTTGAACTCTTTTGCTTCGATGCCCTGTGCTCGGGCTATTCTGCGCGCCTCAGTCTGCACAATATCCAACGACACAGCACAGCCGTCTTGTCGTAGCTCCCGTATATGCCGGACCAGTTGCTCTTCGACGTTCGGATACCTGCCGGTCTTGGCACCGCGGAAAGCCCGTCGTGTCTTCTTCGTCGCCTTAAGTTTTTCTTCTTGGTCCCTCCAGTACCGAATACTGGTTTCTCCAACGCCGAAATGCCTGCTTGCAGCCCGGTTGCCGTGCTCCAGCGCATACTGCACTGCCTTCGGTTTAAACCCAGCCGTGTAGCTCGCGTGCTTCCCCATGGTGGAACCAAAGTTCAATACACGGCCACAACATACGCACACCGCTTGCAAAATGGCGTTTCTTTCTTTTTCTCTGATGGTGGTGATGGCGATCGAGCCCCCGGCGTTGTACACGTGACCTCCAAAAAGCGCGGCGATTTGGGGGGTATCAGTAATTGATGGAACAGCCGTTTTTTTTTTCGCTCATGGACGCCTTTTTTTTTCAAGTTTTATTTCGACAAACACGTTGGTTAGGTCGTTGCACTTCGATTTTTTTATTTGCTCGTTGATTTGCCTTCTTTTTTTTCTTCAGGGTACGGGGACCGCGTTCCAACTGTACCGCTGGGGGGTAGAATCGTTTCTGATCACGGCCAAGTTCGGGGTGTGCCTATTATGCGCAGAATTAAAAAAAAACGAATTTTCCGCGACCAAACTAGGGGTGCGCCTATTATGCGAGTGCGCCGATTATGCGAGTAAATACGATATATATATATATATATATACATATATATATATATATATATATATATATATATATATATATATATATATATATATATATATATATATATATATTCACTTCATAGAACATTCGAGTTTGTTGCTATCGCATTCATTGGGCAAAACCTTTTTTTGTTTTGTTTTTTTTCTAGCAGAACCAGGCAGATGCCTCTATTGGTGCACCAGTGAATATGGCTATACAATTAAGCACTGAAATTCCTATATTATGACACAAGTGTAATCTTGACGTAGCTTTGCATGGCAGTCTGAGAAGTCGGAACACTGTGCGAAAAGTGCTGCGTTTTCTTTTTCTGTGGGGGAGGGGGGAGATATTATATATTGCCATCCCGCGCGTGCAGCATCGTGTTATGACTAGCATAACGATTTAATTTCGTAAACATTGTCCTCATAACCTGGTCGCAGTTACATATCGGCGGCCGAGCTGGCTGTGGTGCGCTTCCTAGGCTATACAATTAAGCACTGAAATTCCTATATTATGACACAAGTGTAATCTTGACGTAGCTTTGCATGGCAGTCTGAGAAGTCGGAACACTGTGCGAAAAGTGCTGCGTTTTCTTTTTCTGTGGGGGAGGGGGGAGATATTATATATTGCCATCCCGCGCGTGCAGCATCGTGTTATGACTAGCATAACGATTTAATTTCGTAAACATTGTCCTCATAACCTGGTCGCAGTTACATATCGGCGGCCGAGCTGGCTGTGGTGCGCTTCCTAGGCATCCTGGTGTTCACGGCGCCACTGGTGGTGCTGAGCCGCGAGTCGGCGCTCGGGCCGCGGGGCGTTCGCCGGCTGCTGGTGCTGCGAGGACTGCTGGGCGCCACCAGCCTGTTCCTGCGCTTCTACGCCATCCACTACATGCCCATCGCCGACGCGTCCGTCATCATCTTCAGCGTGCCCGTGTTCGTGTCGGCGCTGGCCAAGCTGTTCCTGAAAGAGCCGTGCGGCTTCTTTCACGTGGCCGCCGTCATGGTCACCCTCGTCGGGCTCGCGCTCATCACCAAGGTGCCGCTGCTGTTCGGGGGCGACCAGGGGCCCGTGCAGGCACGCGGCGTGATCGCCGCGCTGTCGTCCACCGTGTTCGGTGCCAGCGTGTACATCGTGGTGCGCAAGGTCAAGGGCGTCCACCACTCGGTCATCATGTTCAACTTCGGCTGGGTCGCCATCCTGGAGACGGCCACCATCTCGCTGCTCACCGTCGGCCAGCTGGAGCTGCCCCGCTGCGGCGTCGACCGATGGCTTCTCGTGGTGCTCGGCGCATTCAGCTTCGGCGGCCAGGTGCTGCTCACGCGGGCCCTCCAGCTCGAGCAGGCGGGCCCCGTGTCCGTGGTGCGGTCGGCGGCCGACATTGTGTTCGTGTTCGTCTGGCAGGTGGCGTTCTTCGGCGAGGTGCCCGACCGGTACACCATGTCCGGCGCCGTGCTCGTCACCGCCTGCGTGCTCCTCACTGGCCTGCGCAAGTGGGCGCTCACGCTGCCCGACAGCTCGGCCACCAGAGCCAGGCTCGCCTGGCTCATCTCTTGATCACACGCTTCGCCTCGCCGTGTTGGCTTAAGAGCAACGCAAGCTCTCGGTAGCTTGCGAGTGTCAGAAAAGCTTACTCCGGGCACTATCAGGCAAACCACTGTGCTGTAACGATTCACTCAGACCACGCAGGTGTTTCCAAAAGATCGGGCAAACAAGAGTGACTAGACAAACCATCATGTCACCAACATGCGCACAACATGCGATCGCCGCCTATCGATCCTTCTACAAAATGGCGGCTGCTTGCCGCGCGATAGCGTCCATGAGAGCGAAGACAAGAATGTCGGTCCGGCGCTAACATTTTGCACGAGTAACGGATTTCAAGACACACATGCCCTGCTCACTCCCATCGATCCGTTGGCGCGCGGTTATTGCTGTTTTATCGCTTGGGAGAGCTTGCTACCAGATACGTAGAACTGGGCATGCTTTCTCTTAGGTGTGTGCACTCAAGATGTAGGTTCTCAATGGTCTGACTTGGGGCTACGCGATTACAGGCTACGTTTTGTTTTTTGTCACAGCTGTCTTGAAATGCCGACGCCCATCGACGCTCTAGAATGAAGGCCTGACCACGCGCACCTCTTGCAGCGCGTCAGCGCGGGGCTTCCTGGCGTGGCGCCTTCTTCCTGTAGAGAGAGAGGGCACGTGGCTACGCGCCTACTCTCTCCATAGGAAGAGGGCGCGCTGATGCGCTGCAACAGGTGCATGTGGTCAGGAAAACAGGAACTCCTTGGTGCGTAAAAATGCTCTACTGCGCGTTCCGCAACTAGTCAACGTCTGCTGGCGATACCGTCAATATAATCTTGCTGTATTCGTGAGGCCGCGACGATGCATCAAGACGCAAAAATGGTGGTTCCTAAACAGAGAAGCAGAAGCGTTTCCTTTTCTGGTCGAGTCAACTTCAGTGCTGTATGTATCGGCGGACAAGTGCCGCCATCTCTTGTCATGGTCGGCGTTCCTCGGACTCTCGTCAGCGGAGTTTACTTTCTGGATAACGTCAATGTAAGTACGATAACGCCGCTGAAAGTGACGAACCTCTCTAGCGCCTTTCGGCAGTGTTGGTAGCGTGGTGTGTGTAGAATCTGCATCCAGCGACCCTGGTCGACCTTAGTACGACGTTCCTCGCGGTTCTGGATACGCGCTCTCGCCTCCTGTAGTCAGCGCCTCACATATCGTGCTTGTACGTTCCGTACAGATCTAGCTGTGATAATATTGAGAAGATATGCTTGTGTCCGCGGATGAGAACAAAATAAAGAATTATTGATGCTTGTTAGAAACGCCGTGCTTTATTGGTTGTTCAACCATCTCATTTCCGCGACACTGCCCCCGGTGCTTTCGTTACACACTGTTTGGTACACGTGTCACTCGTCTCCGTGTAGAAATAATAAATGAGTGCACGTCACAAACGAACGCTATCTGTCACTGGCGTAGCCAGAAGGGGGGGAGACATTGTATACCCCTGTATTTTTCAATCTTGCAAGCGTGTGTATACATGTATACACATACAAACACACGCACGAATGTACACCAAGTGTGGTTGAACCCTTCCCCTCGAAATATTCTTGTTGTGCCACGAATGTTTGCAGCAGAGCACTTCGCATATATACCAGCATATAGCTACACGCAGGTTGAAAGATGACTACAAGCGTGGGTTCCTATTGTCTGCGATCTTAGAATCAATCAATCAATTGATCAGTCATTTTTGTTGGTTAGCAGTGAACAGAACCGCTGGAGCGCCAATTTGGGCTGAAAGATTAGCTTTATGGAGCAATGCGACTTCGGCGCATGGAACGTAATTGTGCACCACATGAACATAAATTCGTAATAGATAAGACACATGATCCTACGAAAATAAAGACGGAACTAGAACACAAACCTATTCAGTATATAGTGTGGCAGTATCAAAGCACAAAAAATTCACGTGTAATCTTAGAATATCGCACACAGTTTGTGAAACAGTCTCACTGAAGATAGGAACGCACGTTTCTGAAAGAAAAAGAAAGATGTTACTTTTCATTTCTTTTTCTTCGCCACGTTTGCCAGCACTTCACAAGAACTACAGGCTTCAGAATATGTGTAAGAACAAAAGATTTTGCCGACACGATAGAAAAAAATTTAATAGGACAAATTAACGCAGGGCCCGATTTACACAGTATCCTATAACATCTACATATTTGGTCGACATTATTGGGTAAATTGTGTGTTAGCGAGTGTTAACGAAATGCACGGGAATATGTGATCGTGCATTTGTCGCGAGTATTACGGCGGAGCTGTTAAGCTTTTCGTTACGCCACGTGACCCGACCTGGAAATCGATACGGCACGCACACATTTCGTCCTCCTCTTCATCTGCTGCATCGCTTCCAGATCGCCTGCGCCGAATAGTCGGCCCTGGGATGCGATACCTCTGACGAGAGAGAGAAGAGAGGGAAAGGTGAAGATGAAAAGAGAGAGAAAGGTAGCAGGCGAGAGAGGGAGAGAAAGAGAGGGAACGAGTGCACAGAGAAAGGAGCAGACAGAAAGAGAGAATAATATATGTCTGCTATACTTTGAAGGATTTCAGAACGCATAGGAGGAGCAAGCTAATAGGTAATACGCAAAATTAAATTTTCGCGAATCAGTTCGCAGCACTTTATCATCTTTTGACTGAACGTGTCTGTCTGAGTCTATCCCGCTCCATGACCAGGATTGGGGGCCAATCGCACGTAGCGTCATACCCCTCGTTGGTGTAAGCGGTGGCCTGCCCAACAAGCTGAATGGGAAATTAGTGGGGGAAAATCATACCTGACGAAAAAAAGATATAGTTCTCAAGAACGACTCCTTTGAGCATTGTGTGAAATCTACCGTGTCGTACTACAAACCACGTTGCTTGCCATGGTTTAGAAGCTATATTCATAGAAGCCACATAGGTGTTTTGTAAATAGTTGTTTTCACCCCGAGAAGCGATACCATGTTTTTTAAACTTTACAGTTTCATTATTACTAACATTACTTTAGCCCCTTTTTTTGTTACCGGCGCTTACTTAACACACTTGTAGCGCTGTTATGTTCACTTTCCTTGTAACCACATTTTGATGTTATTGAGCGGGTAATATTGAATAAAACGTCCGTTTTACAGTTGTGGCGCCATGTGTTTCTAAAGGGCGCGTTAAAAGTACGATGCTGCGATTTTACCAAGAAGTACCGGTAGGGTTTTCAGGAGTCGTTCTTGACAACTACCAGTTTTCAAAAGATATGATGATGATAATGATGATGAAAACTTTATTAATGTTCAGAGAATACTCAGGGCAGACACTGCGCGTGATTTTTTTTTCGCTTTTCCCATTAAGTTATGACAGGACGCAGTCGCTGCCGCCAAGAGAAGGCGTCAGGTACGTAAAGAATAAACGCTTTGTGTTCTCTCTCTACCCAATTCTTGCAGTATGCATGCATCTCCCAGCTCAGGTTCACAGTTTAGAGCTATGTGCACATAAGTGTGCGCAGGTCAGGGGGGAGGGCGAAGTTTGCCCACTCCCTATGAGTCATACTAGTGGTAGAGTGCGCCCCCCTCCATCTCAGGCGACAAGGGAAAGAAACGGCCCCCCCCCCCCATGCCCCCCCCCCCCGTCTATGCATATACACATATATGGGGGTTACGGCGTTCCGCTGATAAGTATGAGCTCGCAGGCTCCGGTCGTATTCCAATGTCGGCGATATGAGAAACCAATGGCGTACTTAATTCATGCGCATGTCGAAGAACCCAACGGGGTCAAATTTAGACCGGAGTCCCCATCAATGACGCGAGTCGTAACCTAGCGTTGTTGCTGTGCTCACGAACCCGAAAAAGCTGTCACCGCGCTCGTGATCCTAATAATTGGCATTCACGACTTAGTTAAAAAAAAAAGACTGGCACAGTGTCAAGGGCGAGAACGAGCAGTGAATTTACGAACGCGATGCGTCATCTAACGTGGCGACACAGATCTGTCATCGTTTTTTTCAAGGGCACCCTTTTTCGACGCTCTGAAATGTGTGATGCTATTTTCTCGTTTTCTCGTCGAATTCACGAGGACGATGGCCACGAAAAAGGTAAGACTGACTGTCTCTCAGCGTCAAGGGCGTTGCGACACACGCGGCGATCATCTGAGAGAGAGCTATAGTTGGTGTTGGCACGATACAAGTATATCTTGTACTTATATCTGGTTATGTAACCAACTAATGACTTCGCTGAAGGAGTCCACTGCCTCGTGGCCGAACCTACCGTGGCAAAAGATTTTAGAACCCGACAAGTACGTCTTCCCTCGTCCTTGCGAGCGTGCTGAAAGCTAAGCACCGAGGAAAACTACTGCAGGTGCGTAGCCAAGGGGTGGCACACCGGGCCCGTGCCCCCACCTCCCCGTCGAAAATGTTTTGCCATAGTTTAGGAGACGAAAAATCACCATTTCAAAAAGGATCCCCCCCCGCCCCTTCCTCGCCGATATCACGGAGGTGCCCCCTCAACTCGCGAAGAATATTTCTGGCTACGCCCCAGGAAACTACGTCACGTGCACGTCATAAACTTGATATCCTTTTACTTTTTTTTCTTTCGAACGCGCTGCTTAGCTTAAACGTCCAGGACCAGCTACAAGTTATCAGGCAAGCCGAAGATGCCGCTAGGGCACAAGGACTCTTAGCTGCCATCTAAAGGAGAGCATTTAATTCCTCGGAAACTTGTCGTTTTGAATAAAGTTGTTTCTCTCTCTCTCTCTCTCTCTCTCTCTCTCTCTCTCTCTCGAACGCGCTTGTGTTATCACTGTGATCACGAGTGAACTCGCAGGCACAAGGCGGCTTCCCGTGGCGGCTGTGCTAACTATGCAGCTCACTTCTAGGAGGCTATGCTCACGACAATGACCTCCGAGATGGCGGGCGCACGGCACGAACCCTACGCGCCTACCCGCCATCTCGGAGGCCGTGCTCGCGACGCTCAAGCTTTCCAATGGCCCTGAATTTTGGTATATGGTATCATTTGTTGGAAGAAGAGAGAGTGATTTATAGCTGACTGAGAAATATTGCAAATTACAAGCCATTCGCGTGTTCTCAATCGGCTGTGTTTTCTGGGCGTGCTATAAAGAGTGTTGCAGGGCCACTTTAAGCTCTTTGGCTGCAATGATACTGGCTTCACATTGACGTATGAGCGCTTTTGGAATATGAATGACTAATAAACACTTAATCTTATTATAAAATTTGAGGAGCAGAAGAATACATACCGAACAATACTGCCTAGATTGCGGGTTTTCGTAATAGTAGTAACCAAGAGCTGCAGATACTTTTCGAAAAAAAAATAGTAGTTACACGGGCAAACACGGGCAGAACAGAACAGAATACTGCGATAGACAAGATACAAATAGTTATTTTTTTCATGCGCAGGCATCGTCGCCTGCCACTGTTCCGACACATGTGAGAGTCTACGCAAAACATAACTCCTCTGGTTCCACTACTATCAGAATTCGAGGCCTCAGCTAAATTTGACGCGTTTCTCACTTACACGCCAACCTTACGAGCACGCTGTCACTTCGCCGCGGCAACGCCGTGTACCACCTTCGAAGTTTCGCCTCCGTGCCGGTTTGTCACCACCGATTGCCGTTTCCTCGCGGTACACGGGCGAAAACGCAACGCTTCGCCAGTGGGAAGGCAGTGGCAAGCCATTGTTAAGCTTTCAGCTTCGCAATGAAACAACGGGCGGCAGCGGGCCGCACGAGACTTCCACACAGGTGCACCGAGGATATCGATATATCGGAGGTGAATACGATTCCAATGCAGTTCTCACGCATAACGCTTAGTTTGAGAAGCGTGTGAACTTGATGAGCTTGTCGGTGCACATTCATAGAAAAAAAAAACTGCGCGATAACAAGAAGGACGAGAAGGAACCCTAGGGAGACAGGCTGTCGTATGCTGTCATCGTCGCTTGGCGTAACGTATCGTCGCTTGGCCTAGGGCCTCCGCCGTCATAAGAAACGATTCCTGGCTACGGCCCACGCAAGGACCTCAGCTGGCTAAATAGATAAAATAGAAAAAAGCTTTCTGGACATGGGGAAGCGCGGCATGGCGTGTATACTATACTTACCCCCGTATTCACAAACGCTCCTCGACTCGGTTTTCACCCTTCACTTGACAAAGTTGAGCACTGCGCCACCACTCGGCTGAAAATGACGCTGCGCTACTAAAGAATCACAGCAGACTATTGCTGATATGCAGTAACTTACCGTACCTAGAAATGGCGCTCCCATCGGCTTTTTCAAGTGAAGGCGAAGCGTTGAGTGAAGGGAGGTTCTAGAATACGAGGGGTTAGGCTCGCCACTCGCGATGCGTCGAAACCGTGCCCGTTTCCGGCAACATTGCAGTTTATTTTTTATTTCTTGCTACGAGTACTTCAGAACCACTACGAACACCGCACGCGACGAGCTAGCTTTACCGAACGCGGGCGATCATTCACGACACTCAGGTGGCCGCAGGGGAGAGAAAAGAAGAAAAAAAAAAGGAAGTGCGGCTGTCACCATGATGACAGTATACTGACAAGTGAGAATGAACGTACTTTCGACGAAAATGTACCGGCGCGCAGTGCTGCCAATTTTGCTATCTCGTAGATAGATCTAGATATTTTTGAACTCGGATAACTATCAAAAGTTTTATTTATTTACGAGTACCTATTTTAGCTTCGTATTGAAAATTCGGCTCCTACTCTTGCTGTTTCAGCTAACTGTAGCTGAAGTGTTAGGACATGTTCAAGAAATACTTGCGCAGGCTATTTATTCAAGAAAAGCATAAAGGCCACACGTATCCGTTGCAGCGCGTGCACGCTTTCTGACGCGGCGCCACGCCCGCTCCCTATCGGAGAGCGAGAGAGAGAGTGGCTTGGCTGCACGAAGCTGCACGCCCACTCTCTCATCACACTCAGCGGCTAAGGATGCCGCTTTGTAAATGACATTCATCTTCCAATGTGTACCCCTCTGAACAGCTCCTGTAAGCACGCGGTAAATAGTATCGGAGAGATCGTATCCCCTTGTCGCTTTCTTTATGAATCACTATGGTGGCAGTCGCTCAGAGGCCTAGAGTGCAGAGTTAAGGATAAAAGGTAATGAAGAAAACCCTATAGTAACCTGCGCTTCGCAGATGACATTGCATTGCTGAGTAACTCGGGGGACGAATTTCAACTCATAATTAGTAAATTAGACAATGAAAGCAAAAACGTAGGTCTTACAACTAATCTGAAGAAAACGAAAGTAATGTACAACCACCTCGGAAGGGAGCAGCACTTCGAGATAGGTTTACTATAGTGCACTTGAAGTTGTAAATAACTACGTCTACTTATAGAACGGGTAATAACTGCGGAGCCGAACCACGAGATTCAAGTAACTATAGAAGAATAAGATCGGTATGGGGAACATTCAGCAAGCATTCTCAAATCATGACTGGTAGATTGCCCCTATCCCTCAAAAGAAAGGTATATAACAGCTGCATCTTGCTGGTACTTAGCAACGGAGCAGAAACCTGGAGGCTTACAAAGAGGGTTCAGCTTAAATTGAGGACGACGCAGCAAGAAATGGAAAGAAAAATGGTAGGTGTAACCTTAAGAGACAAGAAGAGAGCAGAGTGGATTAGGCGACAAACGGGGGTTAAGGATATCATAGTTGAAATAAAGGAGAGGAAATGGACATGGGCCGGGCATGTAGCGCGTAGACAGGATAACCGCTCGTCATTCATTGAAGGGTAACTAACTGGATTCCTAGAGAATGCAAGCGGGTTAGGGGGAGACAGAAGGTTGAGGTGGGCAGATGAGATTAAGAAGTTTGCGGGTATAAATTGGCAGCAGCAAGCACAGGACCGGGTTAACTGGCGGAACATGCGCGAGGCCTTTGTCCTGCATGCAGTGGGCGTAGTCAGGCTGATGATGATGTGCCGCAAGACAAATGACCCTCTACCGCCACAGCTTGCACTGCCGTTTACGAATTTCGAGGGTTAGTCCTTCGTACGTTTATTTAAGATTCTGGTAGTGAGTATTCTGTATTTTTTTTTTCATGTACAGCCAATCACAGAAATTTACAGACTACGCGAGCACGTAATCAAAAGCTTCTTCGCAACACATCCGCTACGTCAACGGCGGTCGACAGCCCCGCAGTGTCCGATTAGCAGCCCTCGCTTATTCTATGGCCTGTCTCTTTTCTGTCTCGGTACAAATTATTTTTTTTTCCTAGCACTTTTTAACGCGACATCCTTCTTGGTATCTGCGTCTACGTGCGTATGCCCCTACAACACTTCACGAACATAACAGTTATCAGTCGCAATCTTTATCACAAAGTGGCTTAGCCATTAGCTAAGTGTCAGTATCTATAAAAAATTGAAAGGCCAGTAAATAACAAGAAGGACCGTTTCCGGCCTGGCACTGCGGTCGACGGTAGATGGCGCACCGCCAGGTGACGCATACAAGCAGTTTGGCATAGTCACTGGAAAAAGAGGGAAATGGGGGAAAATAATTTTTTTTTCAGCAACTCTAGTTTGGCACTGTATATGCTACATTTAGGTAGCAGAGTTGCGCCACTGTTTCCCGGCCGCCACTCGCTCCGCCTGCAGGAGTTCAGCGCCCCTATTCGCCGAGCGCCATCACGTGGTCATAGGTGGTTCATTTACACCGAGGAGAAGCCAATGCTACGCAGATTCCGGGCAGATCAAGCGGGGTTGACAACGGCTGCCGTCATTCTCGCCACGCTTATTCGGTAATGTAGCCATGCTGCCTGTTGGTCACGATAAATGCGAGAGCAAGTGCATTCTGTGTTGAAATGTACTACGTAGAGCCCATGCTATTAGACGCGGGTGCAGCGGGTGTTGCTATAGAAAGATTAGTGTTCAGTCGGAAGGAATAAATGCTTGGCTATTGTCGTTTGCAGGATTTTTTCTTGGGGGGGGGGGGGTACAAACCATTGTTGCATCGCGGTTTAAGGAGAGCGAGAGCACTGGTCTAGCTTCGGTGTGGCTGTTGTGGCTTGAGGAGGGCAAGTGCCCATTTTCCACTTCTCTGCTGACGCCCATGGGCTTCATTTTTTTTTTTTTTTTCTGTCCACGGCACCGCAAAACTTGCTCTATTCGTATTAACCACAAATGCAGTAGTGAATACGTTACACGTGCAGACTTGGCAAGCGCGCGTCAGCTGCATACGTCCAAATTAGTGTGGCGGTTAAAACGCTAAAATTAAAGGGAGACCTTAAACTATAGCTATTCGAATTGGCAAGGTGTTGCTGCTAGGTCGTGAATTGAATGCAGCTTTGAAAACTTAAGTGAAAAGAATGTTGGACACGACAGCGCTGTTGAACAACGATTCACATCAATTGTCATGATCCGCGATCGTAATATGAACGTAATACGAGAGTCGCTCGTAACGCGGGCGTCGCACGGCCACTCTCGATGGCTATCCAGCTCGATTCAGTAGAAGACTAAAAAGCTTTAGCTGGTTAGCTCACACAGTTAACAAACGAGCCCAACGCAATGAAAATATTTCATCCCTAAGTCCCTCATAGCGATCAAGAGTGAAAAATAATTTTATACATGCAAATGGGAAAAACAGTGCAAAAGAAGCCGAAGCTAATGTGTGGCCTACTATAAATATACATATGTATCACTGGTTCAATGAGCTGAAGAACGTTTTTTCATTATTACCTACCAAAAACGTAAACATAAAATCAAGGTTTCCAGGCGTGACCAGAGCAACTGAGTTTGTCTCGTACCTTCATAAAAAACAGGAAGAAAAGACAGCAAAAAAAAAAATAAATAAAGCAACGTTCTAAGTGCAAGCGCTGCTCCTACGTGGGTGGTGAGTGGCTTTCTCGCAAGACATTTGAACCCAAAATGGCGTACCTTGGCACAACTCTGCTATCTAAAGGTAGCATATACAGTAACTCTAGTTTGGCACAAAGCCCTTTAATATAGAGAAAGTAGCGACACTCTCCTCCATATTCTCTCCAAAGTGTCCAACCCTCCTCTCCCAAGTGTCCAGACCTAATCTATATCCTCTCCCGAACAGCCACCGAGCGGGCGCCGGCCATATTACCGGGGTCGTGACAATTTTCCTATCAAGAATGCTACGTGACGCTGATAACACGCGCGATGCTCGTCGCGGCCCGAGAGGCGAGAGAGAAGAATGCTCGGCGGCTCGGTTAAAAGAATGGCGTTACTTGCGCCACACAGCGGTACTACGCCACACAGCAGTAAGATTACTTAAGCCATACAGCCGGCTAAAACACGTGGTTCGCGACCACTTTGCTTGCGGCGCGGGGCCTGCACGCAGCTATCCTCGCCATAATTTATTTTATTTTATTTTTTTGCAGAAATAGCAAGTGCGCGAGGAGCACAGCCATATGACTGCTCTAAAGCATTGTTTTCACAAGGCACCCGTGTGGTCACCATGCATTGAAAGCGTAACCGTAAAACGAAAACCGTATTATGGGGAGTAATCTTTGCCCCAAATGTTTTTCAGGAATGACCCGCATCTGAGATATAGAAAATGTTTTTGTTGACAATGTGTACGAAAGGGTTACTGATGCCGGACCAACCAGCGCTCAAACTTCCATTCTTAAGCCACGCGGGCCTTTCTGCCACACATACTTTGAACACCCCACACGAAGACAGCACAAGGGCAAAGAAATTGCACAAGTCAGGACACACGTACGCACCTTTCGCGGGTATCCCAGGCTTGGCATACCGAACGCCCACCGGGAACAACATGGTCGGAGCAGGCGCGAGTCCAAGCAGATGGCACAAAGTTCTTTCTGTCAATCCAGAGCCGTCCCTGGCCTTCGTTTGGGGATATATGATGAAGCTTAAACAAGTTGCTACCGCAGAGACGCCGTGGCTGGAGGTGCAATACGCACAGCTCGGCCGCCAGTCTTGTAACGATAGTTGTTATCACAGCAAACACAGTCTCTGTGACACAGTGCAGTAAAAGCTTCTCGGCCTCCTATCATCCGATAGTTCGATTTTTGACAGCAAAATTCTTTCATGACGCCAAAAAACAATAACATACTGCCCTAAAACATGTGAGGTAAAGGAAAACATTACAATATACACACATTCGTGCCCGGATGCTTGACATTACGTTAGCTAGGAGCGTTATTTGAAGTTTCGCGCTCATCGGCTTTCGCATACATGGCCTTCGAGCTTTATCACGCTGCACAAATCACAAAGGCTATGTGTTATGTGAAGTGCCTTTCACTTTTGCCGCAGGGCGGCAACACAAATCTTTCAGCAACAACAACAACAACATTATTTTTTAATTTTGACAAGAATTTTGATGACCACTTCACACACGCGGCATTGCAGTAAAAACATATAGACTAATAAACGCAATGTTTTTTTTTTTTGCGTAACGAAACAGAATGAATTTTATTTTTCTTGTTACTCAACTCAAGAATGCAGTGAGGCCACAGTAAAGCAGTGAAATCCAGCGACTTAAGTTCTCACTGCAGAGTTTATACAGATATGCCATATGTTTCAGTATTATTCACGTGTTACGAAAGCGAAACTAACTGACAATATTTTGGACAGTTTTCGTCATTAGAGGGGCATCTCAACAGCGCCATCGAGAGCGTTATCATCTAAAATGGCTGACGAGGAGAATTCGTTTCTCGACAGTGGCAGAGAGAACACACTTTTGTGCAAAAATGAGCCGCCAGCACCAACCTACTGCTGGAAAGACATCACGAAGGAGTTCAGAGAAGCTACGAGGGAGCTTGAACTTGGTGAGCTCGTCCACGACGATTCGTTCACGCTATTCGAGGCCATGTCGGCGATCGAGATGATGGATCCAAAAATGGACGCTGGAATGATGTGTAACTTTGGCAACAAGAAAGTGATGAATTTTGACCAAGCTGTGAGTGCAGGTGCCCTCAAGATAGCTGATCTAAGCCCGGCAGAACACATCGGCATAATCGACTCGACCCTCGCCTGCCTCGTCACTTGGCTGGAGGGCCACTCTCTGGCACAGACCGTGTTCACTAACCTTTACCTACACAAACCACACCAAGTTGAAGACAAGGTGATAAAGGCTTTTTCTGTCTGTGTCCTCAAAATGGTAGACATGATTAAAAACTTCGTCACCAAGGCTGCCGTATTCGAGGAAGAAGACTTCCAACCGGTTGTGTACGGTTTTAAATTAGCCTGGGATGTCACCGAAGTCCGGGCTGCAGGAATGATGAAGGAGATCGAAGACGAACTCTCCAAAAAAGTCAAGGCTACCAGGGCAAAGCTCGGGGAAGAGCTCGACTCGGCGCAACTGGCCTGCCACGAAGAAGCCGTGGCTGTGTACTCAAGAATCAAATTTTGTCGCTTCTTCCAGCAGGCACTGGTTGTTTTCAACAAGAAGGGAAGCGATGGCGTCGAGGAAGTGGAGCGCCTTCTTCAACAGTGCCTCGAGGTGCTTCCCGTTCTGAGGCGCACCATTGCCTTGGGCGTGCAGCCGGACCCCAATGCGGAAGGAACCAATCGTGCCGACTACCCAACGGTGATGGGATTCGAGCCATTGGTTAACCAGAGGCTACTTCCCCCGACGTTTCCCCGTTACACGAAAATAAAGCCACGCGAGGACACCATGGAATACATGGAAGCATTGATAGGTCGGCTGCGTCATGTTTGCCGAGTCGTGAATTGCTCATCTTTTCACTCGGCCATCGACTTCCTTGGAGAGTTCAGCAAGACCTGGCCGTGTGTTCTCTCTAGGTACGCTAATCATATTGACTCATTCCCACAGTTTGTGGCTGCTAGCAATGCTGAACAACTTGAAACGTGTACTAGCTATTCAACAGAAATTGGTGACCAGCAACATGGTGACTAGAAACTCTTTATGTTGTTTCACTTGAGGGACCCCTGACACCAAATTTAGAAACTCAGAATGCCTGTTTTGTTTGATAGTCTTGCATGTGCCGGCACTTTCCCCAAATTAATATTAATGAGCATTGCCTGTAAGCGATGTTAAATTGGGTTTGAAGTAAGCGTGAGTGCTCATCTGAGTTTTCAGCTCTTCATAACATCACCACTAGTAGGACGTAGACAGAGGCCCCTTCTGACGTGCCACACACACAAAGAAATGTGAGCATTGTCAATGTCGCAGAACATTGATGGGGTGCACATGAAACTATGACTGGCATCCAATGTGGGCTCTTGTTTCGCACCCCTCTTGCTCGGTTGCCAGGCTGCTCTCAAGGTGGTTTGGGCTGCTTACGCTAGGAATGCCTTTCTTTTTCCTGAGGAGGACACACTCAAAGCACCTACATTGTTTCATTTTTCACACTGTGCGGATACCCCCAATTTGAAAACTGCACATTCAGCATAAGGTAAGCTTGACCACACGGGGTCTCAGGCACTCCTCTGCTGTGGAGCACTAGTTTCTTAGTTCTAAGCAGGCATTTTGAAGTGATGCTAAACTTGGTCACAAGTAATGATGTTAGCACTAATTATACAATACATTATAGCATTTACAATTCAATTTTGGCATTATCAGATTAAGTTCAGTAAAAATGTCGCAAGCCAAACTTTTACTTGCAATGCTCCTTTAAAATTGTTTAATGCTGACCACCTGGATTGTGCTGGTGTTGTCGTTTACAGGCCTCTAGCATTTTATTCCAATATCCGCACCAACAATGTGTAAGGTGGTGTTCGTGACCTGGCATTTTCTGTGTGCACGCAGGTCCGTGGTCCAGCTTTTGTACTTGCCCTGCCCTGGCAAGGTTCTTGGCAACCTGACCATGGTGGACGTCCTCAAGGAGTCAGTCCGTGCTTTCATACGGCCACCTGTGCTGTCACAGCGAGGCAACAATGCCCTTGGCAACCATCCGCATGCTCGAGAGCTTGTAGATGCTTTCCTCAACCACTGCGTGCGGCCCTTCACCTCCATGGTGCACATCAGTGGCCACAACAGGGCGCGTCAGCGAGACAAGTTGACGCACCTTCTAGAGGAGCTTGCTGTGCTACAGGACGAAGCGGATCGCCTGGACACAGTGTTGCATAGCATCTCACTCAAGATGGAGTCATCATTACCCCACCAGCCACAACAGCAGCTGGCATGCTTCACCACTTGGGTGTTGCACCACGTTTTGCGCACTATGATTCGCTATCTTCTCTCAGGCTTTGAGCTTGAACTGTACTCTGCTCATGAATACGGCTACATCTACTGGTATTTGTATGAGTTCCTATATGGCTGGATGATCTCAGCACTTTCACGCGCTGATGCATTCCTGATGGAACAGGAGGCACGTGCTGAACAGCAACGTACTGGGCGCCCTGTGAAGAAAGGCAAACGTCGCAAAAAGCCCTGCCCCCACAGCCGTGAGATTGTGATAAGCCAGGCATACCAAAATCTGTGTGGTGGCTATTACAAGACTCTGGCAGGCTTTACACTGGACGGCAAGCTGCGTAGGCCATGCCCAGAGTTCGACAAGGAAAAGGTATGCACTATAATTGAGGGTCAATTGTGCAAGGCTACTTAAGTTACAGAACTCAACAAAAGCCAATCCTCTTGTGCATGTTTTTGCAAAGTGTCTTGGCCTCTTAGGTATATACTTGTATGCTTGGACGTGTACTTTCATATGGTCGAATGGTCCACATATTATTGTAGTCAAAACCTTAGCACTCTTGCTGCCTTCCATAAAAAGGCAGTGTATGAATATAAACGGTGAATATGGTCTGATCCCTGTGTTTCAATGAGCTGTTGTCCTCAGTCTTAACACTTTGAGGGGTATGGTAGTGTGTTTATTGTAGTGGCAAAACGGTAATATGATACTGCTGCTCTGAAGGAAAAGGTGGGAATGTCCAAGGCAGGTAATAATAATCGGAGAGTTCAGAGTATGTAACAAATCGTGCATCTGCTTGGAGCAGTACAGCTGGAGCTGAAGTACAGGATGAAGCAATTTTCCTGGATCGGCTCGAGCTCGAAAGTGTCATGCACTAGCCTAGTCAAGTCCGCCTCTGTGATTTCGAACTTGGCCAAGTTTGTTGAAATGAGCATGGAAGCATTGATTATCATATCTGGCGAGTCATCTTTGAAGTTCTGTCCACTGAAGTGAAGTTTGTGAATATGGTAAAACTCCTTGCGTATTTTAGTCCTGACTTTTGGTGAAGTATGCTGTCTTGTTGGGTTTCAGGACTTGATTTATAGCATGCTAACAAGGGTGCGAATGCAGGACACTGACTTGCACAGTGACAGCACTGTTTTTGATTCGGAGCACGTATTTTCCAGGTGCGTTATGAACATCGCTTTGCACCCTTCAACAGCATCCTGACACCACCTCCTGTACAGTATGGCCAGTACAAGGAGATGACTGACCCATACAAATATCAGCTAGATCCAACACCTGAGGACATGTATATGGCAGCCTGCAAGTGCTTCCAGAATGCACGTATGTTGCTCGACAGTTTGCCTGACCTCAGCAGTGAACTGACTAGTGTTATGAAAGTGGCCAAGACAAACTTTGTTGTGGTCAAACTTCTGCTCAGTGGCCACAAGAAGGATTCTACAATGCTGCCAGAATTTGACTTCAGCCAGCACAAGAACTTTCCCATTATCAGAATTTGAATGATAGCATTGTACACACTGCATTTTTTATACCAGTGCAGTTCACAACTCTTACATTCTAAAGGGTTGCTGCACGTCGTCAAAATTGCTCAGGTTTGTAGAGGATTGAGCAAAAATTGGAATGTTGTTTGCAGCAGTACTGTCATTCTTATGTTTAAAAAATGGCCATCATGGTGACATTGTGAGTATTTTCAGGCCATTATCGTAAAAGTGATTTTGTGCACTAAGCAATACCTAATTTAAAAGCAGTTGCAACAGAATTGCTTTGTTACAGTGTAACTATTCAAGAAAAACATGAACAAAACTTAAGTTGTCTAAACTGTCATAAGGTAAAACTAAGGTTTCCATGTACATACCAACATAGTCAAATATTTGTTCATATTTTTGCAGTCATGTAAGGTATTTGGCATTATCTGAGTTGTATCTTAAATGATTAATAATGTGATATCTCGTTCTTATAATTTTTTATTCTATTGAAAGAAGATCCTATCACAAAACACTAAGGAAAAATAAATATATTCAATAGCTTTAGAGCATTGTCAGTAATTTGCAGGTTCTTTAGTCTGTTGGTTTCAGGGTTTATAGGGGTGTTTTCCTAGGTTTTTAGTAGTGTTTCCAAGTGTGAGCAGAGAAGACGCCTGATGTGCTGTCGTATTAGTCTGTGCAAAAATTAGCATGGTACGAGGCAACCCAGAGAGTTGCTAGTATGCTGCAATGTCTTGCTCACACATGACCGTCATCTTTCATATCTAGCATCACATGGCATACCACATTTTAGGAAAGTTACTTAATCATTCAGGGTGCTTCGAAATTTGCCAGTATGTTTTATATAGTCATGGCAATTAAAACCTCAATTCCGAAAATCAAAAGTTGTATATATCATGGAGTACATAAGTCGACTTGAACTGAACGCACTTAATGTGTGCTGCCTCATGTTAATTTACTGTTCCAGTGCAGCCAGCATATGAATCAACTTCCTGCTGTGACAGATTGTAGAATATCAACTGTACTGTGAGACTTCTTGCATCTGCAAAAAAGCTTTTCCTGTAGTGCCAAGTTCACATTGGCAGATGTACAGTCATAAGCCATGCCTTCACTAACAGAAACTGTAATTAACTGGCAGAAGTTAGGGTAAACAGTGCATTTCCAAAAATGATGATGTGAGTTGTTTTCAAGCATGACATTTTTGCTGCAGAACCTTCATTGTGCTGTACTGGTTGTAAATATTTTCATCCACAGAACAGTATAGGTCATGGCATTGTGTCATACTTAAGGAATGGTCATTGTGTTGTTACAATTACATGGAGGTCAAGGAGGATAGATGTGAACTTACGTTATTTAAAATAAATTCACATTGACTCGTATCTCAGGTCTCAAAATTTCATAATTGAAGTACACACTTCACTACACTAAAAACAAGACTTGAGACCTCTATGAAATAAAGAAAAAAATAAATCATTAAGGCTGTGCAATCAACTGTACACTTATGTTTCTGATTTCGGGTGTCCTGATACTATACAACACTTGGATCCCCAATGGTGTAGGGTTCCCAGTGCTAAAGCTAATACAGAATTATGACAGCTTCGCACTACCAGTGCCAGCTTGTTTCTTTTTTCTTCCTTTTTCTTTCTTGCTTTTTGTTTCTTGTAATCTCTTTTGTGTCTGCTGCTAATTCCTGCTTTCTCACTCTATGTATCTCTTTCTCGCTTTATCTATCTTTCTATTAGGTAAAGTAGCAAATTGGGCTAGTTAGAACGTACTCATCTCAAGGGGTGGGGGATCGGCACACACAAAAAAATTTGGCAGTTCCCACGCACCTGGGAATCAACGTTATGCGAAGCATGGGGAGGGAAGATGACCACGTTGCAATTTGTTTTATTGAGTGACACGTGATGAAATGACGCTAAATATATGTACAAATGTTGCACGCACAGGCATAAGTTGAAGAGTTGTAGATGTTTACATAACCAGTTGTTTGCACTTGTGCAATGATGCCAACTGGAACATGCATATTAGAAACACCAGAAGCTGATATGAAGCACTTCATGATGCTCGTGAGGATGCTGGCCCTGGACACTGCTACATAAATCAACTTCAATGCATGGCCACTAACCACAATCGACAATACCCGATGTGACGGCTGTATCAGAGGAGTACATATGTATTGTTTATAAAATTGAGCAGCACTGCAACGACTATTGAAGTTTCACGAAGATTGGCGTCTATTCGAAAAGTAGTTCCGAGACCTGGCGTAGCTCTGCGGTAAAATGCTTCATTGCCACGCAAAATGCTTGGGTTCGATTCCAGCTGGAACCCTGACATTTATTCTTTGCATGTGTTGGGTCGACGCTACCGATGTCAAGTATTTCTTGACGCTCGAGTGTTAAAATTGCCCATGTGTGTTCTCGTCGCTTTTGGGTAGATGCTAAGTGTCAATAACCTGTGGCATATACCCGCATACCAGCGGCACATACCCGCCTCTGGGTATGTGCCACTGCCTGGCGGGAAGTGACTAAGTGACGGGATTGTGATATTATTCATGTCTTGACCAGCGCGCCATATTCGTCAAACCATCATACCCTCCCATGCTAATTTTGGTTCATGTCACATTAAGGGGGTGACCACGAGAGCGCCCAAACGTAAGCGACTAGACGGACGGACGGACGGACGGACGGACAGACAGACGGACGGACAGACAGACAGACAGACAGACAGACAGACAGACAGACAGACAGACAGACAGACAGACAGACAGACAGACAGACAGACAGACAGACAGACAGACAGACAGACAGATAGATAGATAGATAGATAGATAGATAGATAGATAGATAGATAGATAGATAGATAGATAGATAGATAGATACGCTCAAAGTCGCCGAAGTTCGCTAAGAAATAAATGCTTCGCATTTAAAAAAGAAAGAAACACAAGAGAGTACGAAGTCGTACACTTTCTTGTATATTCTTATGTCATGTACAAAAATCGGGTATCTGTATCGCGTCAAGGGTAGGCCCAGTAATAAGCAACATATTTCTTAGAAAACTGGACCAAACCCTTGAGCAAGATTTTGAAGCTATTGAAAGGCTTGCTTTTAGATGCTTTTAACTCAGTAATTAAGTAATTAAAAGTCTAACCCAGTAGTTAGAAGCGCTTGTGTCGTGCACTTTCTTTTTTTTCTTTTTTGTGCGCTAATCGTGACGAATTTGATTGTCTTCTTTTTCTCTCTATCTCGGCTTCTTTTTTTTCTCTTTTTGTCGAGCTCTGTTTTTTTTCTTCTATTTCTTCATTTTTGTTTCTCGCTCTCTTTCTGCCTTTCTATTGCACTTTCTTTCTTGGTTGCTTTTCGTTTCTCTGTCTTGTTTTTTTGTCTCACTTTCGTCTCTTTTTATTTGTATTTCTCGGTCTCTATGTATTACTTTTATTCCACACACTTTTTCTCAGTTTTTATCGCTTTCTTTCAGTCTCTTTTTCTTTTCCGCGTGTTTCATGCGCTCCACTTCACCAAGCAGAGTTTTTGTTTAACATTCGCATCTGCTGCAGTGGGTATAGGGGCTTGCTATGACTACTGTAGAGCATTCGCTCCTGTCGCCTAGGCTATCGCATACACTGTTCTTGATTATCTTGCGAGGCTTGATCGGGAGTGAGCAGAAAATACGCGGGAAATACGTGGTAAATACGTGGAATACGTGCGAAAATCCGTGGGAAATAAACAGGGAAATTTTTTATTGATTAATATGGGACAGGATTGGAACGTGCGGGTGGCTATAAGCATTGCGTTGACGCAAAGCCAACATGTCTTCTAATATGATGGATATTACGCCATATATCTGGTGCCATCGCCCAAACCGCAGTACGTTTCAACAACTTATCAGGTGTGGAAGCAGCTAAGTTGAAGCACGCGCACAACAATTGTTTCGCACCCACGAAATATAGATAATAAATCATATCAACTGCGCTCGATGCGATCCTTTACGTAATAACCCACTGCGTAAATTTCCTCGTAACGATGACGCCGTATTAGCTTGCGCTTGGCGATGGACGCTTTCAGACGGCTTGAATAACTTTTTAAGCAGAATGAGAATCCCGCGTACCGAGGCCGTGGACATGCATGCACACCTGCATCTCGCTACCGCAACGTGCTTCAAAATAAGTACTTAAACAGCATTCACGCTATGGCGCGCGAGTTTTGATGTGCGCGCTGGTGACGTGCACATCTCTGTAAGAGCAGAATTAAGTTTCCGTGTTTTTGGAACGTATATGTAGCAAAGTACATCGACTGGGCTACACGCACACACTCCTTCATGGTCAACTACGGTCGAACCGTGCAAAGCAAAAAAAAAAAAAAAACAGCAGCAACCTGAAAACACATTAAAGAAAACTCGCGAGCCCACTTAGCCAGATGTGCCTGGCTATCGTTGCAGCTGACGTGATACCGACCCATAAGCACGCCGGCCATCACGGAAACCCTGCCAGCTCTCTGACGCCTTGGCGACTGTGTTTTCCCGTGCGAGACGCGATCGGTCGTACCTTCAGATCGGTCACACCCCGTAATCAGCCCATTTAGAAGCGAGCTGGGCATTCCCCCGTCGAGGGTGTTGGCACGCTTTTTTTTCTCTTCTTCTTTTCCTTCCGCAGATGACGCACACTGTCAGCTGACGGCCACGCACGTCGTAGGTCGGCAGGGGCAGTCGCCCAGCTGACCGAGGAAAAATTGCCCACCAAGTTCTGTGCAGGCGCAGCTCGTTACAAACGGGTGACAGGATTATCTGGCGTAAGTACACCGAACCAAGCCAAGCATGATTGGCCAACGCTTGCGTACGCTGAATTCTCAGAATGTACAGCCACGGCCGGTCTAGAGCAACGTTACTAGAATAAACGAGTTTATTGTAGTAACGTTGGTCTTATGCGATTCTTAAAAGATACAAAGAGATAAAAGTGAGCCCCGCAACTGTCTGCATCAGAGTGCGACACCTCAACAGTAGCTCACGAGGGATGGGGGTAAGAAGAGATTAAAAGGATAGGATTAAAAGTACTAAAGCACGGTGTAAGATGAGTGTTTGCATCTTACACCGTGGTCTAGAGGCGCGCACTCGCTCCCTCTGAGCGCGCGCCTCCATACCGGCCGTGGTACAACATCGCATATTTCTGGGCAGAATGGTCAGAGGAAGCTCAGTGGAGGTACTGCACGCGGTACCAGCCGCAACCCACGTGCCGGGAGCCCTGCCGCACTCAAGCGGGGGGTGAAAGAGCGTTGCCTATTCGCCAGGGCCAATGAGCGAATCGAATAACTCGCGTAGGGTCATCACATGCTCACCCCTCTTCTCTGCGGACGTCCAATATATGTACATGCTGAGACGTACGCCTGGTGCAATTTGCCCATCTCCTGCGCAGAACTGTGGAGGTACCCTCCTTTGAAAGAGAGGCAGTAATGGAACTGCGCTTATTTTTTTTTTCCTTTTCCCCTTTCAAAAGTCACTTACATGCAATTTGTGGTGTGGATCTCCAATTTTTTATTATTTGCGTCTGGAGCATTTTTCGCCCACGAAAAACGGCTGGCGAGACCGACACGGGATATTTAATTAACACTGTCACGTTATTATCGCATTTTTTAGTACTGTAGCTGACCGACTGAATCAAATTGCCTCAAGCGTCGTTGATAACTGTTTTAAGTTGGCTAAATTGTTTGTTTCCGAAGCACTAATCCACGGCGTCTTTAATAATCATATCGTGGATTTGCGACGCGAGTGTTAAAATTAACTGAATGAGTAAGGAAATATAGTCGGACAGCTATTATATGCCGCGCATGAATTTCTCATAGTACGGGCATGCTTTCTCGATGAGAACAGTAGATAAGCCGTGTAATAATAGTTGCAATCTGGGATTTACCTTCCCAAATCCATTATGTACTATGGGAGATGCCGTAGTGAAGGGCTTAGAAAATTACGGTCAACAGCTAGGATTGATTGATATGTGGGGTTTAACGTCCCAAAACCACCATGAGAGACGCCGTAGTGGAGGGCTCCGGAAATTTCGACCACCTGGGGTTCTTTAACGTGCACCCAAATCTGAGCACACGGGCCTACAACATTCCCGCCTCCATCGGAAATGCAGCCGCCGCAGCCGGGATTCGAACCCGCGCCCAGCGGGTCAGCAGCTGAGTACCTTAGCCACTAGACCACCGCGGCGGGGCCGGTCAACAGCTAGGAGTTGTTCAACGTGCACCTAAATCTAAGCATTCAGAACTCAAGCATTTTCGCCTACGTCGAAAATGCAGAATCGATCACGTGACCTTCGGGTGGGTCAACTGTCGAGCACACTTATAGACCGCCGCCGCGGTTAGGACATACGCTTTGTGCACGTGCTGCTGGCATCGACGAAAGACCTTGGAATTCACGCAGCACGAGTCAAGCAGTGCGCCTGCTCGAGCGAAGACCTTCTTGACCTTGAACGCGACAAGGACACCACATGTGTGCAGTGACGTGACGCGCAGCTGCGGTCATTAACTGAAAACCAGCGTCTCGTTTGGAGCCTCTTTTTTTTGTTGTTATATTCTCAGCCCGGAATTTGTCTCACTTTGATTGATTGATATGTGGGGTTTAAAGATATGGATGTTGTTTGCAAGGCATGTAAGAAAGAAGTATGCACGCTTGATCATATGCTCTGGGAATGTGGGTCGCTTGGCCGTGGCATTTCCCGGGAACGGTTTACAGGAATGATATAGTCTCACGACCATATCTCCCAAGTCCTGGCTGTCCAGTACGCCCATGACAGGGCTAGGAGGCTTGACCTCCCAGCCCCAACATGGGATTAGCCAGGCAGGTGGCTACACCCTGTACAGGACGTATAAATAAAGCTGTTTCCATCCATCCATCAATGTGGGGTTTCACGTCCCAAAACCACCATTTAATTATGAAAGACGCCGTATAGCGGAGGGTTCCGGAGATTTCTACCGCCTGGGGTTAATAACGTGCACCCTAATCTGAGCACACGGGCCTACAGCATTTACGCCTACATCGAAAATGCAATCACAGTAGCCGGGACCATAGCCGGGATTCGATCCCGCGACCTGCGGGTCAGCAGTCGAGTACCTTAGCCACTATAGGCCACTGCGGCGGGGCAATACGCCCCACTGACCTCGTAGAAGGCTGTATTATTGACGCATAACGAGTTCTGGAAGTTTTGAGTGGTTTGACGGCGTCTGTCTTTTCCTCACATTTGTGCCACTTTTCAAAGCTATAGAAATTATTTCTGCGTTGTTTTTCATTTCGGAAGTGTTATATAATGAAAGCATCTGATCAATTCAGGACGGTGTGCAACGTGGTGGATTATTTCGGGCTCGCATCGAACTGGTCTATCAGGGATTTGCTGCCAATGCAGACGAAATCAGTTCTGTTTACCATGCGATAGAAGCTGCCACTGGACATGCGTGCGCGTTGTGAGTGAGTGAGAACAACTTTATTAAGTGCGCGTTCTTAGAGTGTATCTATAAATGCTTGACAGATACTTGACACGCTCTGCGAAATAGGCGGCTTTAACGTCTTTTATTTTATTTTTCGCTTGCGTGTCTGCAGTTGCGGTAACTATAGCGGCCAACGCACTCCCGTAAGGAAAGCTCTGCATCAATTGTCAGCTATGATTGCGACCGCCATGCAAGCACGGTTATTGCGACATCGAACTAACCGCTGCCCGTGTTTTCACTAGCGTTGTAAAAACTGTGACCAGTCACAAATAACGAAACAAGCTCTAAAGATCAAATTCGATTACTTACCTCTTTTTTTTTCGAGACCTTCCTCGGTGGTTATTGTACAGTATAGTTTAGGAGCAGCGGGCGCTGCTCGCAACTACGACTCCGTAGTTCCTTATACTTCAATAATGTTTGTTGACCGGCTGACTGGTTGGCAGTTGGGATGCTAAGCACAAAAAGGAGAGTTCCATTCCCGGCCACTGCCGCTGAATTTGGATCGACACGAAGCCCTCAAAGGACACGTGTGGTATACTTGGAATGAATTAATGAATAATTCATGAATGAAATAAGTTTTTTTTTTAATTCCCGAAACCATGTTCCTTGACTCGTAAATACGGAACGACCATAAGTGAGAGGGTCCCTCATTTCAGGAATCCTCTGGCCGCGATCGCCTCCGAGAACCTGGCGACGGGTCCACGTAGAAGCATGTTAAAAACCCCAGATTGCGGGGATTGGTTTAATTGCAGACACATAAATAGCTTGCTTTTTAAACCAACAGTGTCCATAGGCTGATAATTACTAAGAAGAAGAAGAAGAAGAAGAAGAAGGAGAAGAAGAAGAAGAAGAAGAAGAAGAAGAAGAAGAAGAAGAAGAAGAAGAAGAAGAAGAAGAAGAAGAAGAAGAAGAAGAAGAAGAAGAAGAAGAAGAAGAAGAAGAAGAAGAAGAAGAAGAAGAAGAAGAAGAAGAAGAAGTGCAAAAAAAAAACGCTTGCGTAATTCTGAAAATTCGCAACTCAAATGAACATGAGCCCCGCCGCGGTGGTCTAGTGGCTAAGGTACTCGGCTGCTGACCTGCAGGGCGCGGGTTCGAATCCCGGCTGCGGCGGCTGCATTTCCGATGGAGGCGGAAATGTTGTAGGCCCGTGTGCTCAGATTTGGGTGCACGTTAAAGAACCCCAGGTGGTCTAAATTTCCGGAGCCCTCCACTACGGCGTCTCTCATAATCATGTAGTGGTTTTGGGACGTTAAACCCCACATATCAATCAAATCAAATGAACATGAGAGGGCGCTGCGGAGTTGCAGCATGGCGGATTCACGGAGGTCACCGCGTCCGCTGTCGCTAACACAAATATTGACTTTTCTGCAGTGTGATTGCAATTCGCTGCTTTGTAGAAGGGGAGCGGGTTGTTGACGCGGAGCATCTTATTTTAGTCGAAACCAGTGGTCCCGCGAGCGGCGTTCTTGAAGTGGCCGCGTTGAGTGCGTAATGCACATGGCACACCGCGTCTCTGCGAAATTTGTTGACATACTTCGGGCGCCGCGGCGACATGTATTCACTGGATACAATGGTCATTTAATAGGTTCGAGTTAAAAAGTTAACACTGGTGCCTCACCTGGAAAGAAGAAACCGGCTCGGCCGTTTGTTTTTTCTTCACGAGCGGCACCATCCTACCGTGCTCCTACCGTATAAGATTGGCGCTTGGACTGCTTGGTGATATGATATGTGGGGTTTAACGTCCCAAAACCACCATATGATTATGAGAGACGCCGTAGTGGAGGGCTCCGGAAATTTAGACCACCTGGGGTTCTTTAACGTGCACCCAAATCTGAGCACACGGGCCTACAACATTTCCGCCTCCATCGGAAATGCAGCCGCCGCAGCCGGGATTCGAACCCGCGCCCTGCGGGTCAGTAGCCGAGTACCTTAGCCACTAGACCACCGCGGCGGGGCCCTTGGACTGCTTGGACCTCAGTACGCAGCTTCCCTATATTGCCGCTAGGTGCCACATGAATTTCTGGAAACTAATCCGCAGCCTAGCACTACGGCTCGTCTCAAAGGGCAAGCGTTTCTTTGTGACGTTAAAGTCGACGAACAAATAAATAAAAAGAAACTAACAAACAAGCCAGCAACTTTACCGACTTACTGTCCGACTGACTAAATAAAAATAAATAAATAAATAAACGTTGGTCTCTGTACTTGCCACGGCGTTTTAATGGTTACGGCTCTCAACAATCTGAGGTCGCGGGATCGAATCTCTTCCGCGGCGGTTGCATTTTGTCTTAGGAGAAATGTCAGAAGCTCTTGTGGTGTGCAATGTGAGTGCCCACGAAAGAATACCACACGGTCGAAGTTTCCGGAGTCCGCCACTACGGCGTTTCTCGTAGTCATATCGTCGTTTCGGCGCGTAAAAACCCTCGATTCGATATATATTTTCTTGATCGCGTCCGAGGGAAGCAAAGGGTGCGCTCGCTTCCTTGATCGCGCGCCATCTAGTGGAGGAGGGGCGGCGCGCGCATTTATATGCGGCCAGCCCGGTGGCTCCGAGACGAGTTTCTTCCCCGCGCCTGTCGAAAACGGAAGCGAGCGCGGCATTCGAAATGCGGCCGCGCGGGTCCCCGCACACGTCGCCGTGGTTCATCGACGTCTCGGCGGTGAATGCGGCGGCGCGGTATCACGTGTGACGTCGATGGACAGCGATACGGGGATATGCACCTCCCGATCGCCCTGCTCTCCGGTGCACTGCTGGCAGCGTGTCTCGTCCACTTCTGCGTGGCCACCGAAGAGATCGCCTGCAAAGACATCTGCGGTAGGTACACCACTTGTACTTGTTCGAAGGGAAACTTTGCAAAACTACCGAGAGAAAAAAAACACCCTCGAAGGGCTGCACTTCAATCTAATCATCGTCAGCAACATTACGTTCGGTCGACCACATCTGACGTGAACACCGGGTTATAGTTAAAATGTTAAAACCAGAACGTTATTATTTATTTATTATATTTATTTATTTATTTATTTATTTATTTATTTATTTATTTATTTATTTATTTACCATCTTTCGGATCGCGAATGTACTGCAAAAAGGAGGGGGAGCGATACGTTACACGTGAGATTTATAAAAGAAGCAGTTACAAGACATCTAATGCGGCGGTTTCGAAACCCTGTTCATCTGCTATGCTGGCGAAGGAAGCGCATGCATACTTTACGAGGAAAATGTGCAGTCGTCAGCAAGCTTAACTAGAACGCTCCGTAGCGTGTCCTGAAGCGGTTCCGAATTGACTCCAGCATCGCGTAACTTTGTGTTCTGTTGCCAAGATGTTACCCATGCATGCCGACGTACTGTTCCGAAGCATATCGAGGTATTTTCTCAGCAACAGCACCAGTTAAAGCAATGGCATCAGTCAAACCAGTCGTGGCCCCGCTGTGGAGCGTTTGCGCTAATCATGCTGGGTACTGAATAGCTTATAACGTGAAATCATGGCGTGGATAAAGACGATAACAAATTTCCGAATTATAAATTAAAGAACAGCTTCTATGGGGTCTTGAATGCTAATGGAGTGCTCACGGGGACGACCCTGTACACTGATAGTCGAATGCCTCTCCCTATATGATTTACAACGCACCCTGTTCAGAGCGAGACGATTACGTTTTCAGCGCGCAAATACCTTAATTTCGTCCACTCACCTCTCTTTTTGCCGTCCTCAGTCGCGCTTTCTAATTCTTGATATCTATTCTACATGACTTGAAAAATATGTGCTATCTGCTTCAAAAGACACCCGAACAGCGGCAGGCTTTCGCGATGCATGGTATATAGTGCGCGCCGTCCAGCTATCACAGGCGCGCGCATCCTGTTGGGAATTTCTGCGCATATATGCGCGCCTGGCCTTGGTGATATGTGGACAGGCACGCACTTCTGATCATCACGGGCGCCTTGCCCGACGTTAACGTGTCCATGCAAGTGGAGCACACCACGAATTCACTGTAGTTTCTGTTGGTGTTACTGGTCCCGAACGTTTTTTGTTGGAACACGTCACACAGGTTCATCGCCATGCCACGTGGGAGCACGTGGGCACATCGCGCGTCTGCAGTATAGGGAGCCTTCATGCGCACGCGTCAACGGAGCCGGCGCGCACATGAAGGTTCCCTAGTCAACAGGATCTCGTTTCCCGACGCCATCAAGTGATTGTTGAGAAAGTGTAAGGGGGAGAGGCCACAACCACTTTCCCAGACACTTACGCAGGGCCGAACACGCTAGCGCGTGCCAGCGCGTTATGCCTGGGATACAACAAGTTGGTTCATCGCGCGTCTGCAGAGTTTCGTTCCCCGGCGCCATTACGTGATTGCTGAGAGAGTGTAACGGGAATAGGCCCGGCGTCTTAGGGCCGTTCCATGCGCTAGCCGCACAGCCCCAACGCACGTGCCGGCACCCCTGTCGCACCCAAGCGAGGGGTGAAAGAGCGTCGCCAATTGGCTTATTTGTCCTCCACTTGCGTGCAGGCACTGCGCCGTGCTCCCGACCAGGCTGCAGAAATCAGGTGCTTTCTCTTCTTCTAAGCACTAGCACCACCGCTTCCGTGCGGCAGGGGTCCCGGAACGTGTGTTGCTGCTGTGCGGGTAGCGCGTGGAACGGCCTTTATCCAGTCCCTTACACAGTTAGGAACACGCTAGCGCGTGAGCCGTTCTGGCAGTGCTTGGGCCAGCTCTTGCGTATGCACAGTAAGGGGGGTCACGCCACACAACACCGGATTGAACTCCACCATAGTTTTCTTCGCATCTAATTTGAAGAAAAATGCGACTGTTGTCGGTGCACATTCTTGGCCAACTCGCATGATGTCTACATCGATGTTGCTCACCGAGAGGCGCAGAGAGTCGTGGAGCTCTTCACCTTTCAGGCGAGAGGGGCTCATCGGGGGAGGGGGGTCCTGTTATCAGGCCGGGGGCCACATAGTACTGCACAGCGGGCCGCAAGTTGCCAACCCTTGGTATATAGGTGGGATACAGGGAAAAGCGATCTTTAGGTGGTATTTTGTTTCCGCTATGGTACTTTACTCTTTAGCGGCAGCGGTAGATTGCCAGTCATGAGTTGCGAACGTTTGCCGTATGCACATCAGCAATCTCTATTCTTAGGTGGGCTTTTTAGGGGCGAAGCTCCCTTTAGTCTGACCTTGTCATGCGTCACGCGTAACCGAGAGAAGAGACGAGAAAGAAGGCAGTATCTCCCGAACAGCAAAATAGACGGCGCTGTCTCCTAGAAGTACATACAAACTGCAGTTGAGTGAAGCTATTCTAGATGGCGCTGTACCGCTACACTCCGACTAGCTGCTGCGCGGGCTGTGCCTGGGTACACGGAGAACGAGTGCCTCTCTCAGTCTCCCGGATAGTCACCGTACGTGGCGGATCGTAGGTGGGCCATGGACGAAGCAGAGTGGCGGGCGCGTAAAACGCTTGCGCTCGGCTTCCTTGGCTCGCGTCTTGTCGGTGTTACCCGCGCGTCGTCTGCGCTCTCGAACGCGATCGGATGCACGCACGGACGGATGGTCACATGAACGGACGCTTCGCCCCATTCATCATCATTCACTCCGTGGATATGCTATGATTTTAGGATAATTATAGCTCTGCTGTTAGCATTTAAACTACATATAATAATACCCTTCTACTCATCTTTATGCTCGCTGGTTTATCACCAACTTTTGCTCTTTCAGCGTGAAATTGCCCATACGTATTAAGTTGGCTGAGCCACTTGATATTGGCTGGCTGGACTATTAGGCTTAAAAGCAACTGGTCTCCGAACGATTGGTCACGACCACACGCTATAAAACGCGATAATAAGCGTTATAATATGTACGAATTGCAAGGCTTCTGAGGTGAAACAGCGAAAAAAGGGATTTCTAGAGGGTCCGTGTCTTCGTTTGTCACACCCTCAATGAAAACCAGCAGATGATGAAGTAAGGGGACGTTAATTATACTGTTTCGTTTTTCAAGTCGATCGTATAGTGATTGTGGTACAGACGAGAAGAAAATAAATTGGAAATAAATTGGAAATAAATTGGAAATAAATAAACTAGCCGCTGGCAGTGGCAGAACCTGTGATGTGTCAGCACGAGATTGAAGTCACGGGAGGACTTCAACTCGCAACAAACTAGATATAGCTATCAGCTTGCTGCCAGTCGTGCGTGATCCACGTAAATAACGACGAGTGCATTCTCGTTCGGAGACTCTGACAGCGATATCTGTTATTTGGGCTACATGAAAGATGCATACTTCGCAAACACAGTGAACTGTTTTGATTAGTGATAATTTCCGTTTCGGTGGTGCTGGATTGCAATTGTTTGGTGACGAAAATGTTAAAATAAAGGAAAACATTTTGTACGTGTTGTGAGGCTCCGGTGCGTGGAAATCGTTGATAGTGCGCATCATGAAAAGATGCCTCTTCTGGGTGTCTCAAGATCCTGTCAGTACTCCTTGAGAAACGGCCCTTCTATAATGTTTACAAGCTAGCTTACCTCACCACCATTCGTAGTCAGTTCGCGTACGCTTTTACAGCTTGATCCCATCACAATAAGTAATAAATTGCGAACGCTCATATATGACTCACGTCTTCATCGTTTTAGTCTCGGTCGTTCCGCCTCAGCGCTGTTTGTGAAGTGTGTACAACTCTCACTCTGTTGACAATCCCATCCGATCCGCATCGACTGAAAATTGTGCGCCTCATTCGCTCTTAGCTCAGTCGCGTGATTCATTACGCGTGCGCATATATTGTCACGTGGTCGTGACGAATTCTACCACGTGACAAAGTGTGGAACGATACGAACAAGCGAATATCGACGACTTGGAGTCTTTCAGTACTAGTAGCAGAAGTTCTTTTTTTTCTTTATTCAGAGATTACCCCGCATTTTCCCAAGGTGCTAAAGCCAGGAGGGGGGGGGGGGGGGGGTTAGGGCATTTACACAATCAAGTTTTCAATTTTACAGCACTACTGAGTTTGAGACAACTTCTTCAACTCTTTAGTGATCTGTCCTCGCATGAAGTTCTCTTATTTTGAAAACATGCTTATTTTTCTGTAATTGTAAGGCTCTTTAAAGTACTTTTTTGTTAATTCCTATTTTATCAATAGGTATCTGGAAAAAATCGAGCCACTGTTTTTGTCGACGCGAGAAAAGCAGCCCCCTTTGCGACCACCTATAACCTCTGACATCATTACACACCTTGAACATTTCTTAACACTGAACTTAAGTATTGCAATTTTTCTTTTTAAAACGTCTCTATATTGACAAAAATATGCTTCGTAGTGGTGCCAATTTCAACGTACCTTACAAGCTCGAGCCACGTCCTTGGCCCTCGTGACTAGCTGCGGCTGATCCTCATTGTCGGAGTTCGTTTCGTCAGGGACGTAGAGTGCGTCGAATATTTCTAGGGAAGTTTTCTGTAAGGCAGAGAAGGTATGATCGCGAAAAGCCAGTTTTGCGCTGTGAGGCGGTATCATACGCGAAAGTTACGAATGGCAAAATTGCGTCAGTTTGTGTGGTATGGCTCAACGTACACGGCTATGATGTCGGAAAGTGTGCAACGAAATCGCACAGTCAGCCCGTTGGTTTGGCGGTGACAGCTGGAGGTTTTTTTATGAGTTGTGCCAGAAGCTCTGAGCAATAGCTGCACAATTTGTGAAATGAAAGCTCTTCCACAGTCACTCAGGATGACACGTGGAGCACCGTGACGCAAGATCAAGGTTTGGAGCATAAATGTAGCTACTTCAGAAAAACTGGATATTCCCAGGTTGCATACGCCTTAAAGAAAGAATGTTTTTAAAGGAAAAAAAAAACAGAATTCTGCCTTATTCTATATAGGATTAAGAGATTGAGAACAGAAAGACTCTAAAAATAGGAGCGCAGGAAAAGAAGAGAGAAAATATTATGATCGTGGTATGTGCATGTCACCACGTAATGGTGGTGATGTAAGTTGCGTTACAGTTTATCCATTAAGTTAAAAGTCCCCAAGAAACTTGCACAGAAGTTTTAAAATCTGAAGTTCTTGAGAGGTATTTTTTTCTTTAGATGTAGCGATACTTTGAAAGCTTAGCATAATCTACTTTGGAGATGAGTTCTTATCTTATTAAAACATTTATCATTTCATTACAGATCTCAAGATGGACACCATGGTAAAGTTATTGGGATGCATGCGTCATACAGCAAGCGATGACGTAAGTAAGCGCTGGCTCGACGCGTCATTCCTGATTCTTCATTTTAATTTTTACCGCTTTAGATCAACAAATCACTTTGACAAATAGTTCCTTGCCCGTTCAGCGAGCGAAGTGTCGTGTGTACCGCATGGCCCATTATTTATGCCGGCCGGCATCTGTGCTTGGCTTCACTGCAAAATGTATTTGCGGTCTCAGAGCGGGCAGTTATAGACTTGGCACCGTTTTTGAGTATCGTGTCTAATGATGCAGATTCGCTCCCATTCCGCCACCGGTGCACGCAAGTGGGCTGGCAAAAAGCCAGCATCTCATAGGCTTGTTTGACCCCTTTTTCAGCTCGTTCCTCGATGCAATAAGTGAATGCGTGTGCCTGTTTACGAAACAGTGGGAATTCATCTGGTTTATTCTGCATTACATTAGGGAGAATATATAAAAAGCTCAATTTATGCGTTATAATGGCTTCGATAAAGGCTACAACGCGTGCGAGGGTAGAGCATATCTAAGGCATACGGTGGGGTGACATGCGACAAAACTTTTAAAAATACTGAATATTGTTTTTATTTCATTCTATATCATTAAATGCCAATGCAGGAACTTTAATTTGAGTACAAGTTATGTGTTGCATAAATATGACCATTTGCATCAATTCAAAGGAATGTTTTAAAAATGAATATGTAAAACACCAGGTGTCTGATTTTGCCCCAACCTGCGGGGCAAAACGAGACAGCGTGAAAAAATTTCAACACTTCAAATTAGCAGTAGAATCGCCTGAAATTCACTCCGTGGTCCCGTACGCAGTCTTCACAGTCTTCATGAGCCCACTCCTTGCACTATACGTGCTATGAATCCAGATAGTGGCTTTCAACTTGGTCATTGAACATTGTGAGGCGATGAATTCGGGATTTTCTATCCCTTGTTATTTTAAAAATTGCCGAGTAAAAAAGTATTATTAAAACTCAATTTCAAAAGGTGTTCGTGAATGGCTTGACTTGTAGATCCTTTCAATGTTATCATGTACCTTTTGAGAGCATCCTTGGGAAGCCGGAACAGCCTCAATAGCTCGAATGGAGAGAGTCTTGTTTTCAACAGCAGTCATTTTTTTTTATTTTATGTCGTTTAACCACCCACGAAGCCCTGTATAATATTTGATTGTGCGTCCTAACCATCGTAAACGTGAACATATGAAATATAATTAACATGAGTAAATGGCTCACTTAATAAAACACTCTCTAAGGCATTTCGATGCCTTTTTTGTCACGTTTTGCCTCTTTCACATGCCCGAATTCAAAGACATTTCCCGTTTGGCACCGTGCACCAAATGAACAGAACTTTTGGTGGTATGTAGCTAGTAATAAAAAGTAACAAAATAAATGCGTAAGTTCTCGTACTGACGTCGAAGTCGCTTCGTGCATGGATCCCAAAATTTGGCCGATCAGAATTTCGCCCCTTCTTGACGGGTCACGAACACACCGACACATGTCGCGTAATCTCTTCTATGCGAATGTTGTGGGCAGTGACAAACTCTCACACATAAAAAGCGTAGACAACTACCAGCACCCATCGCTGAAATAGAGGAGAAACAAAGCAAAAATCGTTTTCCATTAAGCGCAGAAGTGGGCAAAGTCAGAATGTCGCGTTTTGCCCGGTGTCTCATTTTACATAACCTATATAGAATTTCCTATAAATACACTCGAGGGAACTCTGGTGCCAGTGTCTATGGGAGCTGCAACGTACGGCGTTTCAACGAGCACGGGAATCTAATTCATTAAAAAAAACGAAAGCTCTTACTCGGTCACGCAAGGCTTGAGACAACGAAGAGAGAGAGAGAGAGAGAGAGAAATAAATCAAAGGAAGAGACAGGAAGGTTAACCTAGAATTGACCATTTGCGGAAAAGTGAGCGCCCCCTGTCGTGTAAACAGGAAAGCTTCGCTTTTGGTTGGAAAACAAAACGCTTGTTTTGTTGCTTTAGGACCAAAAACGCATGCCCGTTACTGAAACAAGAAGGTAAAGGAGAAAAACATTCTGTTGACGTTTGTATACACGGTGTAAAACAAGAATTTCTCGCGTTTCAGCCTGAGAAATAACCAAGTGAGGTGATACCTGCACTCCGCTACCTCGACGGTTCGCCAGGCTCATTACGCCTGCTCTTTTAAGAAGAACATTATGTTATACACTTGAAGTTGAACCTTGAAATGTCTGTCGATTAACTATAGGTTCAGTGAGGACGGCTTGTGCACCGTCTGTGAGGTACGGTGTTTGCGTGAAAACGGCAGTGTTCGCCGTTACTACGGGTCATATTGATGGAACGCCAGGCTGATGTTTTCCAACCAAAACCAAAACGCCTGTACAGGAACGCTACCTGTGCGGTTACTGCTCATGCGCAGTGGTTTTCCCGCAAATGGTCAATAACTGGTTTGCTACCCTGTACGGGGGTGGGGAAAAGGGGAAGCTGGCCGTTATGCTATACAGGATCTGTTCGTCGTTGCCGTTCTCGTAAGAGTACCAGACCTCGCTTCACAATTCACTTCTTCTTCGGGAATACATACTTTAGTTGCGCGTCCCGTGGCTGTATCTGATCGAGCGGTGAACCTCATTTACGCGAGGTGTCTCTATCACTGGGCGTGGCTTAGCGATAGCAGCTGGTCGCTTTGTCGCTAGCGCGCATACGTGGCTTGGCATGACGTCGCGAGGTCGTACCACGTGTTCTAGCATATGCGGCGTCACTTGCTATGGCTAAACGCGGGTGGCTTTTCGTGAAACGCGCACTTTTTTAGGGCTGGCTCCCTAAAATATCCTTAAGGCTCCCTAAAATCTAAGTACAGGTGCTCCAAAAGTTAAAACGGAGCACGCGAGCTGTGGCTACGCAAAAGTGAATGCCAGGGCGCTCCGTCACAGAAGTGGTTCTTCATTTTACATAAAAATGATGGCACTAATTTCTGGCACGTTTCAGAACAAAAAGTAAAGAACCACCTCTCTGAAGGAGCGCGCTGGCGTTCTCTGTTGCGTAGCTCGGCCACAGCTCGCGTGTTCCGTTTCACTTTTGGAGCACCTGTACTTTAGCTTAAACAGCTTCGCCCTTAACAGAAGTGTTGAAACGGCGGGTGCAGTGTTGGATTGAAGGTACCGACAATGCAGGCAAAAGAGTGCCCGATAGAAGAGTGAAAAGCAGGAAGCGAATTTAGTGTCGCGCAACCAATCACGCTGATACGCCTCGAAACGTCGCGCGGACGCGCAAGTTTTGTTCTTTCGCGCATAGAATTAGCATTAAACGTGCGAGTGCTTGGTAAGACAAAGGAGGGCGCCCATCTCGTCGGGGCTGTCAAAACAAAAGGGCTTCTCCAGCGCCGCCCTTGAAGAAGCAGTGACCTTCGGTCCACGCGCCGAGTGGCTGCTTATAGGCTGTCGCATCTAGCTTCCTATATAGGTTAGCTTCTTCAACTAAGCAGGACCTTTTTCTTTCTTTTTTTTGCTGCCTTCTTTTCGGGAACGCAACGCGCAATTTTCGGCCAATCAATCTTGCGCAATCACTTCGCGCGAGACACGTATGAAAGTCACGCGACCGGCAAGCTCGCCGCAAGCGCCTATATGCGGCACGAATGAAATTAAAAAAACAAACAATAACGTGGGTTCAGTGACGTAGTGCACTTTCCCACCGTCATTACTGCTTACCTACATTATGGCTAATATTATCTGGGGTCTTATACGTACCAAAACCGTGATATGATTATGAGGGACGCCGCTGTGAAAAACTCCGGAGATTTCGACAATCTGGTGTTCGTTAATGTGCACCGTATGGAGGCGGAAATGTTGTATGCCCGTGTGCTCAGATTTTAAAGAACCCCAGGTGGTTGAAATTTCCGGTGTTCTCCCCTATACGGCGTCTCTCATAATCATACGGTGGTTTTGGGACGTTAAACCCCACAAATCAATCAATGTGCACTGACGTCACACAGTACACAGACCTCTGCCATTTCGCCTACAAGAAAATTCGACCGCCGTGGCTAGACGAACCTGCGACCTTCGAGTCAGCATCCGAGTCAATCCACCATGGCGGCCATGGGTTATGATGGCCTCAGACCGGTCACACGTCCGCCGATAAATCCATCTCGTGAAAACGCATGTATAGAAGGTAGTGCAAAAGATGATTTGAGCAAGTCCGCGAGGTACCAACAAGAAGTGATTGACGGTGAAGGGTGTAGTGTAGAAGGGTGTGAAACGCAGCTTTAACGTATATGTTAAAGCAGCTTTGACATATATGTTAAAGCTGCTTGGTGTCTTTGCTTGTCATAAATACGACATGGTAGATTGCTTCTGATATATAATTTGTTGTGATGAAGTTGGAGAGAGAAGAGAGAGAAGGAATGTAGGAAAGGTAGGGAGGTCCAGTTTGCTACCCTACACATGTGGAGGGGGAGAGGGGAGTAAAAGAGAGAGAGAAGGATATACACATGTCACATCACAAGTGTCTATCCTTCTCTCTCTCTTTTATATTCTATAGCTTCTATGCGCTTTACGGGAGCACCGGTATGGTAAAAGCCCAGCTAATTCGGAAAATGCGCTATGGCACTCGTTCTAAAAGCGGGCGTTCTGAAAACAGTCAGTCTGAATACGAACCGCTTATATTTACCGCTGTTTATTTAGCAGTCGTTTTTCCTTGGCCCTGCTTACTTATAGCAAGCGCGTTTCCTTGTTGGTTTGCTTCGACCAAAACACCAGCAAGCAGCTGCCGCATGTGCTAACACGTAATTATAACTTTCGCGCTTGCAGGCTCGAACATGTCCTTATCCTGCATACTTTTTTTTTTCCTGATTGCAAATAAGGAAGCTGCAGCTAATAGCCAACGGTGATCCTTGTTACGCCTCATGCTGTGCTTTCACCAACGCTTTACGACGCTGAAAACTAGGAAGCGCGCACAAAACAAAGCCACTCACAAAAATAAAAACAAATATAGATGGACGTATGGATGGATACAGCTTTATTAAATGTCTGGCAAGGCTTAACGCGACCCACGCTTAGGTCTCCCACGGAGGAGCGGGAGGACTTTGCCTTGACCAACGTTACTAGAACTCACTCTTGTATATCATAGTACTCTCTTCGGATAGTCGTGGAAACCGCGACTCTCCTTTTAAAGAAAGTTAACGTGTATCTTCAGATGTTTATTCAGGTGGCTAGTCAGGACTCTTTAACAGAGTAACTGGTGAACTTTTTTTTCCTTTTTTTTTCCTTGGAGTACCAGTGAACAGTATATCTCAAAACTGCTGTAATGGCATAGTGACGACGCCTCGAGGTTGTCCGACTGTACGGCAAGGTCCCACAGTAATATATTTTATCATTACAAGCAGAGAGATCCTATGCAACGGTGCCTCAATTAATCCACGCTGACGTAGTTCCTATCTAAAAATAAACATCATTTCCAGTATAAATGGTGAAAGCAGTATAGATGGGGAAAAGAGAGAAAAGATGAAAAGATAGAACGAGATAAAACTAGCACAGAAAGAGATAGAGAAAGAAAGAAAACAGAAAAGGCAATAGACACAGAGAGAAAGAAAGAGAAAAGATGGAGCGAGTACAGAGGGAAAGGGAGAAAGAGGTAAATAGTTTAAAAGAGAAATACTGAACAGAAACTAAGATAGACAAAAAGGAGATAGAAAGACAGAAAGGCTATGAAAGAGAGAAAATTAAAGAAGAGGAAGAAAAAAATTAAAAATAGAAAGAACAAGAAAAATAAAACTCATAAACAAAGACAGAGATGAAAATGAAAAGAGACAAAAACATAGCAGGGTAGAAAAGAAAGAAACTGAAAGAAAGCGATTCAAAGAGATAGGAAGAGGAAGCGGGAAAAAGAGAGGAAGAAAGAAAAATAGAGAGACAAAGACAGGAATAGAACTAAACCGAGACAAGAAAGAGACAGAAAAAAAAAACGTGGCTAATCCCCCTTTCTAGGAATCGGTATAACACGAAAGTGTAACGTGTCTTCGTAGAGGTAGTTGAGCGTTTACTGTTTATTGCTTCAGCGACAGAAACAAATTGCAGGGTCACGTTAAGAACAGCAGGCAGCTCGAAACTTGCAGCGCACACCTCAAGGAAGAAGCACGCACGAAATTATCTTACACAGGACGAGCGCCGACAAACAACTGTCACAGGTCGACACTTAAAGCGCGCTGTTCAAACGGAAAGGAAGACGCACGAAAAGGGCGCACAAGTATACAAAGGACAAGCGTGAACAGTTGTCACAAATCCTACTTCGTCGTGTGTCAGCTCACTCCTTTCGTAAACGCGGCCGCAGCAGCGAGCGAAGTATACCCTTCGTCCTCTCCCGAATGACGAGTCTGATAAGCGCGCGCGCAGGAGAGACCACACCCCATGGAGACGACGACCTTTGTAGTGCGCCCAACGCAAGCACGTGGCGCCATCTCGCTACTGATAACGAAAACGCGCTAAAGTTTCAGAGCTCCGAAGACCTCCAAGCGTTGGCATCTTCGACGGCATACGCTTCGTGGCATAGTGTTTCGCGCCGCGCGCTGCGAATAGAGAGGTTGCTGGTTCGCTTACGCGTGACAAAATCTTTCCTTCTCGTTTTTTCTTTCCTCGGCAATTTGTTGTTATGCATTCTACAACGTCATATCCTTGACAAAAACACGTCAGTTGAGCCGTGGTGGGCCTCGGCATGGAACAATATCGTGTTAAAAAAAGAGAAAAACAGCAAAATGAGAACAGCAAAAAAAGGGAGAGGGAAAGAAAAAAATAAAGAGAGACAAGGCAGGCCACCCATCACCACATTTTCTTCTAGGTTGAGACCATTATGACGAAGCGGCGTCGTTTTTTTTTTCGTTTTTTATGTTAAAGTATAATTAAATTCAGTGCATTAGTACGTACAAGGAAAGATGGCTCTTCAGTTAGAGGAGCTCTCAATCTGATGCTGTTTCACAGCTAGGTTACCTGAAACCGGACTTTACCTCACATATAAATATATGCACCTAGAGTTAATATGAGTGCACGAACAAATTTATAAACGTATTTTGTGTATAGCTTGTCTATTTCATGTTGCAGGTAGGTCACATTATTGCCAAGTTCATGTCCAATGACGCTTTCCTCACGAGGGCACTCTGTGGAGCCGGCTACAACATCGTAAGTGCCCGAACACTGCGTAGCACGCGCACCTAGCGACTGAATGTACTTTCGGCCTATATAATGTTTATTCATAAAGCCACATGCATCCCCCATAGCATATCGTAAACACGCTCGTTAAGATGCAGTTCCTTTGTAATAAATATTCAGCAAGTTCCAAGTTCTTTCATTGACGTGACATGTTAGCGACGGCTTACCATTTTTCCTCGTAAAGTGGAGTGCATAATACTTTGAGTGATTAACATCTCTCGCACATTAATTAAGATGGATGACTCACGGAGCAAGAAGTGGGGATGACTATAGGGTGCTACGGTTTGTAGCTGCGAATTTCGCAGAGCCTGAGGACTCCCCAAAATTTTTTATAACATGAGACGGTGTGCGGAATCCTGAACATCGTCGCCATGGCTGCTGATTTGTATGAAGACTTGCATTCGTGCTATTCTGAACAAATAAAACGCGAACATAACAAAATCTAGAGCTTGCGAAGCTGAGGAGTATAATCCAGTTCACATCGAGCAACCGTAATATGACATCTGAAATTGTTTGAGCTTCAAATTTCGCAGACTTTTCTTGTTTGCACCGCGTCATATTGCGGTCCTGGCTCAAGAAAGCTTCGTGCACACCAATTTCCATATGTGTGGAATCCGCACAGTATATATGGTCATTTATTATCAGCGTGCCGTGCAACCGTCAAATTGAGCATGAACGGCTTAATGATAATCTAACTGAGGATAAAATATTAGCGAATATCAATTACTTAGGTTGTTAATGGTATACATCGCGTATTTTTAATTTGCCATGGTGGTGGTGGTAAACATTTAATAACCATTAAATGGCTACAGGGAGGTGATTGGGTTGGGACCTTATCGGTTAGCAAGGAGGTTTATAATAAGTATAGGCAGTCTGAAGCCAGCATGGTAATTTTTGAACTGACATTATTTTCCATTCTCATTCTCTTTGTTTCTGTGTAGGACAGCGTTCTACGCTTGTTTTTCGCGGTAAGTCAATCGCCACACTCATTTTTGCTTCTCATATGCACAACTATGCTGATGCTGTCTCACGTGGGGTCAGAATAATATAACCCACGTTCCTATATTTTCACGCAACACTGTGAGGCACTGTTTTAGTACGTCTTAGTACAAATTTAAAACGTTATAAGTAAGGCATGGCTGTATCATACCGCGACACAGAGCAGAACAGTGCATTTACCATTTGGTAACAGCATAAGTTTACTGTCGTGGTTCTTCCTTTTAGCTACGTGCAGGCCGGTTTTGTCGGCGCTCTGGCTGAACGCTAGCACGAGCAAGTAGCACCAATATCACTTGCCGGCCATAAATCATCAGGTGAACAGGTTCCCTCAGACAGGCGAACCTATACGACCAATCAAACAACAAATAAAAAAGTAATTTTTATCCTATATGTCGACGTATGGTATGCACTTGATGTAGTATGACTTGCAGTGTAATGAAATCGTGCCGTATGACTTTCGACTTACAGAGTGACGTGATAATCGGTATTGCAAAATGCAATCTGCACGAACTGGTTACGTGAGAAGGCAGAGAACGGTGAATCGCTCTAAATGGCATTGAAAGTCGTTTTGAGAACCCACTTTCGCGCTTCACATCCAATACATGTCGCCATGCTATACATTTGTGAATTCTGGTGATCAGGTTCGTAACTTCAACTCATTCGACGCTTTTTTTTTTTCAGGATGACTTTATGGGCGAGCTGAAGACCGCCGAACAAAAATGCCAGAAGGAATTGATATAGTAATCAATGAATGAGACGTGCACACGTTCGTCGATACACTCTCGCCAGCCTCGCCATTGTTAAGCGCAAGTTCGCATCAAAGCACTCAGCCATGCGTCCAACGGAAGCTCATCGAAAGACCATTCAAACTCTTAATTTTTCCTGCAACTACGTGCCACATTTTGCTCGCGGCAACGACCGCGTTGAGCTGCAGCCGGTTTATTTCGAAGCACAACGAAGCGCTGTAGTGATCCTTATTAACACAAGCCGTTATTTAATTCGCGGTATGTGTGAACTGCATACGTCAGTTCCTTCTGCAGCTTACGCTTCCTTTTTTTTCTGTTCTGACGTTTGACAGATAATTTTTTATTTGAAATGATGACAGCTGTACGAATGGCGAAGATCATGACAGGCGTTATCGTAAAAATACGGTAAGAGAGGTTGGACAGGGAATCAACGCTTTATTAAGAAGGGATTATGTCGAAGCTATAGGTGTCCACCGCTTTGCCGTCTCTCTACACTAAGTGGTACGTGGACAAAGCGCGCAAAGTCCAATTCAGCTGCAGATATAGAAGCGTACGTTGGTGGGCCCTTGTCTGTCTTGACTTATACCGAGTTGTGTGCGGCACAAAGAGACCAAGACACGTCAAAGACACAGACAGTCTATGTCGTTCATGAGTATTCTTTTGTCTTGGTTTCTTTGCACTGCACGTGCTCAGTATATGTCAGGGCACATACAGAACAATTTCATGTTTGTAAACAGGAATAGGCGCCGCCGACCCTCTGTTAAAAAAAAAAAAAAACATCGAATAGGTCTATATGTTGATAGCTTGAGTCAGCTATACAGCCAAAAAGTAAAACCCAGCGGAACGACCTTGATTATTAGGTCATCCTCTTTGTAGGGCAGTCAAATATCGGCATCAGGAGATAACTTCGGCAAGATCACCGCTGTTATTTTTTCTGAGTACTAGGGTTTAATTAACGCGGTACGCACGCTGCTCATATGTGATAAAGAAGCTAGGGAAAGTGGAGGGTATACTATTTAGTTCACCCTCAGAAGTTAGGTGAGTGATATGTTATACTTAGGGGCCTAGCAAACCCCGATTGAGAATTATCCGCCCAACTTCGTTGCTTTGGCGCAGTAAGATCTGGCCTTTATCTAGCGAGGTTTGGGTGCTAGATCGCAAGTGCCGTAAGTGTAATGCATTTTCATGTGGAGCATACCTCCTCAAGCTCAAGTACAACACGAAGGTCTTTTGCTGTTAAAACGAGACGTTATATGCATGCATTGTTTTTTCATTGTCGGCGGTAGCCAGGGTATGCATTGAAAGAGAGAGAAAGAAAATAGAGCTGCCGTTTACACCGCTCGAACACGTGCAGAACGTTCTCAACAAAGTCTCACGTAAAAACAATGCAAAAAGAAAAACGAGAAAATAAGGATTGCAAACAAGAGAAATCTTCAGGACATGTGGTACGCAAGCCCAGATTTAATTCCTGCGCGAATTTCACCCTTGTAGAACAAAATGATGCCAACGCCATGAAGTTGTACGTTTCTTGTAAATTTTTGTTTTGCTCAAATACTATTGCAAATGAATTTGTGCAGCGAATTTGTTTCTGTATATGCTTTCTATACGCAATAAACGCTGTCCTGTTGTCTACGTTGAATGATGCTATGATTTGACACGTAAGAAGTTGATACAGTATGCAAACTGTGAACAGCATTACACGGTTCCAGACAGCTTGGTGATGCTGGCTGGTGCCAGTTGCCTCCAAGTGTCATATTTGCACCCATAGCTGCCACTCATACAGTGGTGCATAGTCCAGGCCACTTGTAATCCGTCTCTCCTTCTGCTTCATAATTTCAGTCGTGGACTTTATCCTCGTAATTTCTATTTCATTTCACGACAGGCGACATTTCAGGTTTATGACACTTCACGAAACTGCACAACTGCAAATCTACAGACAACATGCAAGTTTAGAAATGCGCGCTTTCTTTCATAAAATGCGTGGTATACATGCGTGCGTACTAGCATTGCCCTGTGATAAGGTGAGCGCCTCGCGAAACCTTCTGGCCCAGTTTTCCCGCACTTGATTGATTTCGTAGTGTATATCTTTGGGTTGCATATTGTTTTGACCAACTTTTCACAAAAGACAAGAACGAAAAATGAGGCGGAGACGGTGCCGTATATATATCGCAACAATAATTGTGGGTAGGTTTACCACCCAGAAGCACGATAAGATTATGAAAGACGCCGTGGAGGTAGGAGAGGAGGGTTCCGGAAATTTAAACTATCCCATTTTCTTTAACGCGCCCACAAATCTTAATACACTGACCTATGACATCTCGCGTCCTATAAAATGCGGTCGCTGTGGCCGGGATTCGACCCCTTTGACCTTTGGGTCAGCAATCGAAAGTCATAGCCGCTAGACCACCCATGATGTTGATTCCCGGACGAATAGCACAACCCAGATCACCGAGGCAGGTGAATATATACCGCACGAGGATCTTCGTTCACCTTTGTACAAAATCCATGAAGTGAATGATGATGATGGAGCGTGCTGCGGACAGTTAAATGTGGTAAACCGTCAATCGTCCCTACATCCACTCGGCCATCATACTACAAAGACGTGCCCTATCAGGGGCAGCGAAAGTTTAAGGACGTTAAACCCCAACAATTATTATTACTGTTATTATTATTATAGTGAAGGTACCAACTCTTTCGCGAGGAGGGGGGGGGCGATGAAAAACTACATTTTACTTGTTTGTTTCCACAGCGTGCAGCCAAAAGTGATCACTGTTTAAAATGGGGGGGGGGGGGGCTTGCACCCCCCTCCCCCCCCCCCCTAGCTGGTACGCCTATGTCTGGGTACCACTGTGCTGTCACATGATGTGACAACAACCAGCGCAAAAAGGAAGAGATTGTTGAGCACTGCCTGTGAAGTTCACAGCTGATCGCAGGAATCGTGCCGCTGCAGTGTTTTGCGATTGGACGAATTTCCGTCCACAACGAAAAACGCCGAGCATCACCGCAATAGGATATAATCGCAATCAGCAGGAAAAGCTATGAGCCCAGTGAAGCGTACAAGTAAGTATACTTATTGCATTTATTCAAGCGCGACTCCAGCTGTTTCACTTTACAGCAGCGATTTGCGTGCAGCATGCCTGTAGTACGAGGCACAAAACTATTGCCGTACTCTTCCGCAGGTCAATAATAGGATATACGTATTACGACTCACGCGTGAATGCACGCACCGCGCAACTGCAACGGCCTATACTATCGCGATGCGTGAATGGCTCGGAAAGCATGACTTTCGACTCAGTCGAACTGCGACATGCCTTGACTGTCACTAGGCGAATCTACATGTGCTTTCGGCTGGCGTCACCATGTTCTGGCTGGCACTTTTGTACAGCGTGTGTGTTCCGAGCGCCCGGCAGGGCTGGCAATTGATAAACATGCGGTACATCAGCGTAAGTTGGAACCAGATTCTAGCGCTACGTTGACGCCGGCTTACAGCATAAATTCTGCCTTGTCCCAGCCAAGCGTGCAGTAGTTCGACACTGTCGAAAGCAATGCTTTCCGCTGTTCGCGTTTCTTTCAATCGCAGTAGTACGTACCTGATGAAGCTGCTTCCGTAGTCTGCAATGCACGTGCTGCAGACATTCCGGACTGTCGAGGACGGTCTGCTCGACGATTCCCACGAAATCAGCATAAATTTCCAGCACAGGAACAGCGCGAAACATGCTTACAGCTAAACTCGAGTTGTGAAGTTTCGCGTTTTATTTGCAGAGCGACTGCTCACCTGGCAGTAGTTGATAGTGTTGCTTCGCCGCGCCTGCAACAGGCGGCGCCACGAACTTTTCAATATGGCAGCAAGCACTGAGCTTGCTGTGTTCTGGTGTATACAGGTGTATACTCTGGTAATCTTCAAGGTTTACAAACACAGCCCCTTGATGACTTCCGTTTTTGTTCACCGATGTGCTTTAATAGCATCGCTAGAACACAATAGCTTTAAAAGATAGCCCGCTGATTTTCTACAGTTTCCTTCCCTTATTTGGCAAAATATATTCAAATAAATGTTCTTTTTAGCTACATAAAAATATAAAACATTCCCTTGTACTTTACGCACGTTTGTGAAAAACGAAAGAGAGACTTTCCTTACCCTTGCAAAGAAATGAGGTGAACGGAAGTTTTTTTGTGTGCAACGCTTGTGACCTTGAAACTGCCTAGAGTGGCAACAATGGCTGTGCTCAAATTCTTAGACAGCACGTAGACAGTCTACGCAGACTGCTTAGAAGACAGCACCGGGACCATGCTGTCCGAAAATTGGAACACGTCTGGACGGGTTTTACGCGACAATGTGCCACCTCGCGTCGAGAAGAAAAAGCTAGAATACACAAACGTAACAGATGTATTTTCTCGCCTATTTCGCGTTGAAAGCAAAAACAAATAAGCGTTATTCACATTGAGCGTCTGGGGAAGCATCTGCTTGTGCGCAGACGACCATTCCGGCGAGATCTGATCTATTTGAGCGATTCGCTGAGTCGCATCTTGTTTAGACAGCAAAGTAGCCTGCATCGTATTTGTCTACGATGCGGTCTTCTCGGAGCTGTCTATTTTGCCGGCTACGTCAGAATTGGAATGAGACTTAAGATGGCGGCTGTCCATTTAGCTGTCTATTTAGCCGTCTACGGTGAGTATTGTTACACACCCCATGGTGCCAACTCGGTTGCGTCTCGCATCGGAGCTCGCGTTTCGCTAGGGTAACGTCACTTGCCCAACGTGCCCTTTCGTGCAAGAAGACAGACATGTGCATCACGCTCCATTCTGACCCTGTCATTTGCAGTAAGACGGTAAGTTGGGCCAGTTGGTTAGGATCCATCGTGAACTTACTTACAGCGCAACACCAGAAAAAATACAGGACAGGGAAGGAGCAAATGAGCGCCGTCCTTTCTTTCTCTTTTGCTCCTTCCCAGTCCTGTATTTTTTTCTGGTGTTGCGCTGTAAGTAAGTTCACGATGGATCCTGTCATTTACTCCAGAGGGAGCGTGGCGGCGTGATAGATAGACAAGGCTCGAGCATGAAGAGCAAGCTCCTAAAAGCTTCCGAATATGCTAATACATTTAAGCAATGCCGTATAAAGGCGAAAGGCCGCTTGGTCTTACGCAACAATCACTAAATTACTGTGTCGTTCTTAGTCGATGGTATGGTCGCGCTGCATGACAACATCGATGACATCATGCTTCGCACATTCAATACCACTCGTGTTGCCGCGCCGCTGGACACCAGATTTTTCGACTCGTGAGCCAAACGAGCCTTTCGCCTTAATGGTTCTCGTACGAACATCCACAGCACTTGGCATATCCACGAGGCGCCACAGTTGCAAAGATGCGCAACGGTTCTTGTTTATTTACACAATTTCGGCAGCTTCCAGTGGAGGTCGGCAGTGATGGTCCAGTCGTGTTTGCCGTCGAGTGCTCAGTCAGGGGTAGTGATGCTCGGTGGGCACAAACTGCATGCCCAGCTCCTGATAGGCCCAGGTTTCGCAGCTGCTCTCACTGCGGCTGAACCTGCGACTGCCAAGAAGATGCAGCCACGCTGCACACGTCCACCTAGCACATGTTCGAAATTCTGGTGAAATACACAACGGTCACTGACAGAGCGACGGATTGATCAAGTAAAAGAAGCTGATGCAATGTTGGATAGCGGGCGAATCGGTAACCCTGCTATAGCGTGGCGAGCAATTGGTGTGAACGCGGCCGAACATGAATGAAAATTAAAAAAAAAAAAGCTGCCCTCCATCTGTCCTCTAGATATTTTCCCGCGCTATTCGCAAATGTTTCTCACCTCGAAAGCGTTTCGATTCAACCAACTGTTGAATTACTCTTGAGCGTCCAAATTAACATTACATCCTCTTCCCCGCGTAGGGTAGCAAATCGGGTGGTCATGTGTTTACCCTCCGGAACTACCTCACCTCTGTTTTCAATTCAGCGTTTAACCTTTGCGTCAAATTATGTTGTTATACGAAGAGCTTTGTTATAATCTGGAGCACCTAGATTGTAGAAAAAAAATAAGAAAACTTTTTTCATTCCAAACTGCGTTCAGCGAAAGCTTTTGGCCATTCGACTGACTATGCCATGGATGGAATAAAATTTGTCAAGAGAAAGAGAGAGAGATAGAGGTGCAAGGAAAGGCAGGGAGGTTAACCAGACGCACATCCGGTTTGCTACCCTGCACTGGGGAAGGGATAAAGGGGAGAAAAGAGGTTAAATTTATTAAAGTCCTGCAAGAAGCATGCGAGCGCGCTCAGCGCCCCACATAGGGACTGAGAGGCCTAGCCGCATCGCGGGCTCGCTGGACGGCCCATTTCTGGTCGGCTATGTCTTTTTTTTTTACTACCAGATAGCAATCATACTAAATGTGAGCGCATTTACCTTTTTTTTTAATTTTACCACGAATTGCAATAAGACGAGAGACCGATCTGCCTCCGTTTCGCGTGCGTTCATATACGCGTGCCTTACGCTTTGTGCAGACGCCATCCGCGTTCCAGCGCTAATTTATCCACCCGAGTGAGGGAGAGACGCCACAGCTGGCACCGTGCCGGAGGCCCGGACGCCACAAGTATGAGACATTTTAGGGGCGAAGCTCCTTAAAGCGCCACCCGTTCGTCCATCGTAGTAGTAGTCGTAGTGTGTAACCAGTCTTAGATTTTGACCTCAAAGGTGGTGCCGGTGGGAGATTTCTTCTGTGCGTTGTTGAACAATAAAAAAATCGCAGCGTGCGCATTAACTAAAAGCCGAATTCTCCTGTCTCTCATTACCCCTTAGCAGCTATTGGCATATACATTGAGCACTATCTGACAAGAAAGCGTTGCTACGTTATACTCACTGGGCGTAACCTCCTTGGTTTTAGAAAGGTTTAGCGAGCGTTGGGCCGCAGTACCATGAATACAGTGAACTAGTAGTATATACCATGAACTCGAGTTGGTTAAAGGTGGGAAGTAGACACGAAGCGCAAGCCGTAAGAAAGTGTGCGTGTGCCTCCTCTCGTTCAGTCCTTGGAATATCCGCTGGATGACGGTGCTTCTATATGAGGAATATATGATGAAAAGATGCGAGATGGTAGTACTTGGAGTGTTGAATAGGTGGACGAACGGACACACAGACAGATACATAGACGGACGCACGGATGGCTGCAAGGACGGATCGACGCATGGACGAACGCAGGAGCGGATGCGTGGACGAACGCATGGACGGTCACACAGATGGACGCATGGACGGGCGGAAGCAAGAACGAATGAACGGACGGATGCTTCGCCCCACTCTCCATCATTCACTCTGTGGATATGCTGCCATTTTTCTTTCGCCTTATAAAGTAGCTGTTGCTATAGAACACTTCAAATTGACAATATGCATGGCTGAATTTCGTGACGTCTTGCACTCGTGGACGTGCGAAACCTGTTTGTAAATTTCTCTCGGCGGTTTGTATTTAACGTCACCGAAATAAAATATTCTGTGTTTAGAAAAAGTGCTTAGAAAAGTGTTTAGAAAAAGTATACGAGAGAACACTGAACGATCCCAGATTTTAATTCGAAGGCATCAGGGCAATATGTGTGTTTAGAAAAAGTGCTAGAAGATTTAGAATACTTCGTGCTCAACTATGGGAGATCAGTGAGCCGTCCCCATTTCACTAACACCATGCATCACATTAGAAAAAAAAATGCCTCGACTTCCCCGAAGGTAATCGTCAGAAAATGCTAAAGCATTTTGTAGCGTCCATAACAGCGTTTTGCACGTGAGAACCCAGCGTTAGAAGAATAATGCTTTTTTTTTACGCCGTGCAGCCAATAGCACCGTTCGCCGCACGTGGCGTTTTTCTGTCGCGACGCGGTATGAGTTTCCAGCTCTAGTCGGTAGCGTGCACGGTTAAAAAATATACTACGAAGTGAAGAAAACAAACAGCGTTCTCGGCTCGGCGTCGGCGTTTCACTGAAGAGCGGGGACTCGAGCACAGATTTCCGGATGTTCTTGAGAGGCTGGGGCCCAGCCAGCGAACGGCCGAGAATGACGCACGAGACGGGAAAGTGGGACGCAGGGAGGAGAGAGAGCGAACGGCGAGTGAAGGGGTGGCGAAGCACTGCACCAACGTTGCCCCTCCTACACGATTCACATAAAAAACAGCGCCAAAAACAAGAGACAAGAAAAAGAAGGAGACAGACAGCGGCACTGAACTTACAACAAGATTTATTTGCCAGAACCGCACAATATATACTTGGGCAGCTTCTAACAAAAAAAGAAAATACAAAACAAACAATACAGAATCCACCTAACAACCACATAGTCATCTTCACAACGCACCATGAGCAGCACGTGTGCTAACGTGCCGAAGGAAATCTATTTCTTTTAATGATAGCGCAATCGAAGGCCTGCTGACACATGCACTGCCCAGCCTTTCTATTTCTGAAGCCTCATAAATTTCACGTATTAACTGGTCCCGATGCCGCCTAATGACGGTACAAAGCTGAAAATCAGGGACACAGCCGCAGTCTCGGCAATGAATGCCGAGATGGCCCGAAACTGTAGAGGAGACGTTGTGAGCGTGCTCTTTCAGCCGCTCATTTAAACACCTGCCTGTTTGGCCGATGTACCACTTGCCGCAAGACAGGGGTAGTGAGTACACCACTCCTTCAATGCATGGAACGTACTTCTTTCGATGCTTGACTTTGCAGCCTCGCTCGCACCTCGAACCAGGATTCACGGCTCTGCACAACCTAGCCAGTTTTTCTGGGGCAGAAAAAACCAGGTCTACGTCGCACCTGCTGGCTACTTTTTTGAGATTGTGGGTGACGCCGTGGATATAGGGAATAACGACGAAGTTTCGTTTCCCACGTCCCTTATCCTTTGTACGGTTCTGAGCATTATTTTCTGGGCTCGTTCTGATTTCTCTGAGTAGACACTCAGCAACGGCGGTCAAAACGTACATCGGGAAACCAGCTTCTGTAAGGCGTTTAGTTTGCTTATTAAAGCTGGACAGAATTGTGTGACAGCAGGACTTTCGCAAAGCGTTTGTGTAGCAAGTCTTAGCAATAGCGCGCTTCACCACTTTCGAATGTGCTGAACCAAAAGGGAGGATTGGCTTGTTGGCGCGTGGCTCATAGGCCCAACACACGTGGGAAGGACTCAACGTTAACATTAAATCTAGGAACCTGATGGCTCCTCTGTCCGGAACTTCATGTGTTATAACAAGCGGAGAAAGACACTTACTGAAAATTTCTAAAATACTAGTCAAAGGCGGACCATCAGAGGAGGTTCCAGCTTGAAACAACACAAGGAAATCGTCAACATAGCGGAATACTCTCTTAACAGATGTGGATCCCAAGCAATTCTGAATGGCACGATCACGGCTGGCTAAAAATAAATCACTCAAAATGGGTGCAAGGCATGATCCTATGCACACCCCTTGACGTTGCAAGTAAATATGATCGTCCCATTCTGCAAATGTCGACCTCAGGTAATACTGTAGCAGTTCCATAAAACCTTCAACAGATATGCCTACTGCATTCTGGTAATTCACAACGCCAAAACTGTCAATGCACCCGTGAATGCAAGCTAGAAGCTCACTGTGTGGCAATGAGTAGTACAGATCTTTAATATCTATTGAGCATGCCTGGTAGCCATAAAATTTGTTATCTTTCAGCACGGAAATCACATCATCGGAACTTTTTGCTAGGAATGGATCGTCTATGCTTAATAACATCAGTTTTCCCTGAAGAAATTGTGCCCGTAGACGTTGTGAGCGGCTGAAAGAGCACGCTCACAACGTCTCCTCTACAGTTTCGGGCCATCTCGGCATTCATTGCCGAGACTGCGGCTGTGTCCCTGATTTTCAGCTTTGTACCGTCATTAGGCGGCATCGGGACCAGTTAATACGTGAAATTTATGAGGCTTCAGAAATAGAAAGGCTGGGCAGTGCATGTGTCAGCAGGCCTTCGATTGCGCTATCATTAAAAGAAATAGATTTCCTTCGGCACGTTAGCACACGTGCTGCTCATGGTGCGTTGTGAAGATGACTATGTGGTTGTTAGGTGGATTCTGTATTGTTTGTTTTGTATTTTCTTTTTTTGTTAGAAGCTGCCCAAGTATATATTGTGCGGTTCTGGCAAATAAATCTTGTTGTAAGTTCAGTGCCGCTGTCTGTCTCCTTCTTTTTCTTGTCTCTCGTTTTTGGCGCTGTTTTTTATGTGAATCATGTCGTACCAACTCGCCCAAGCAACCACGTTAGCCCTCCTACACGTTCTCTCATTGTATGCTCCGGTTGCTAGGGGTGAAGATAAGCGCGCACGCCCGCAGCTGTTGCTATGGGAGAGGGAGTGAGAGCGGAGAGTGAAGCGGCGCCGCGGACAACGCCTGATGCCTGGCATAGCCCGACTAAGAAATGCATTCGCATTTGCGAGCAGCAAGCGCGCTGCAGCCTTATGGGTGGAGGTCGCGTTTATTCCTTAAAGTTGTAATCCTACGGTGATCGTATAACATAGTATTGCGATGCGCAGAGTGTCTTACCCCCTGTCAGTGCACACAGGCTTGCGCACTTTCCGGATGCAAGGCACCTTGATGACGTTGAAGTACACGTTGCCAATGGCGTCCGCTATGTGGTTCTTTGCCCGCCGCAGACAGTTGTAGAAGTCGCGGTCGCAGTCACAATGCGATCTGCGCAACAGAAAACGACGTTGAACGCCTTATTCACGCCAAGGGTGTGGGAATACATAACTCAATACAAATACATTTAAAAAAACAGCCCTATATAGGTTGCACAACGTTTTATTTGAAACAAATATTTATTTATTTATTTATTTATTTATTTTGTTTGAGTACGTAGAAAACACGAAGACAGTGAAAAGAGGGAGGGAACACGCTGACAACTGCCACCTATAGGAGCACAACGCCTGCCTGCTCCTTCGGGAAGGGGAGGCATAAAGGAAATAACGAAAGAAAGAACGAGAGAGTAGAATGTTGAAAAAAAAGAAGGAACAAAAAAAACACACGAAAAAAAAGTATTCCATCAAATCTGCTTTTTCGAAGTTTTTTTGCGGGTGCTGATTACTCTTGAATTCGTAGTAGTACGAGTATGCCCTAGCTGTTTAGTTCGAGTGCTGACTTATTGATACGTGGGGTTTAACGGCTCAAAACCACCATATGATTATGAGAGACGCCGTAGAGGAGGACTCCGGAAATTTCGACCACCTGGAGTTCTTTAACGTGCACCCAAATCTGAGTACACGGGCCTACAACATTTCCGCCTCCATCGGAAATGCAGCCGCCGCATCCGGGAATCGAACCCGCGACCTGCGGGTCAGCAGCCGAGTACCTTCGCCACGAGACCACCGCGGATACACAGTTCGAGTAGGGAATCGGACAAAACTAATCGATTCGTTGCTCGAAAATTTCGTATAGTCACGCACCCTCAATATAGATATCACAGAGAAACACACTTTAGATTAAAAGGAGACTTTCAAAAGTTACTATTAATAGGATTTAAAAAAATGAGAAATAAATGCGCAACATATGCTCTTGTTCTCACTAAGACGCAGGCACACACGCACGCACAGCTAACCCTATCGGAAAAAAACGAATGGTGGGCATGGTGGAAACCACCACCCACCATTATAGTGGATTAATGTAGTGGGTGAATGGTGGGAAACACCCACCATGGCGCATGGTGGGTATGGTGGGTGCTGCAGTGCCGGCAACACTTGAGCGCGAAATGACGTCAGAATCACCGTGACGAGCTGCCACAAAAAATAAAAAAGAATTCTATAAAAACGGTATAAAAAACACCCGTCCCGTAAAAAAAAAAAAAACAAGGCGCCACGGAGGATCGAACGTGCAACCACCGGATTCCCATTCTAAGACGCTAACCACTGCGCCACACTAACATAACGTAGATTGCGTGTTAAATACTTAGTTGTCATACAAACTTAAGGTTCAACTTTGTTATGTTTGTCGTGTACACAACATAGACAAGATCTACACCTGCTACTAAATATGCACATTTATTAAACACAAGCAACTGCGGCCTGTAACGATAGCCACTATGTTAATGACACTAGTGCTATTTTTTGCAATTCACAACTTCAAGAAAAAAAAAAAAAACCAAGTGGACTGGGGAGCAGCGGCAGTTTAACGGCGGGGTCTGCCAAGTTTAATATCCGTTTCGCGCTCGTTCTAAAGGGCGACATCTGTTCACGCTTTCTGACGCTTCTAGGTTCATTCCATAACTACGCCCGCCTAATTTATTTGATTGAGTATTGGGATGCTTTTCGCGCAATGTAGAGGGTGGTCGCGCCAGCGCAATGCTGTAGCTCTTTCGCTAAAGCAACAACTACATAACGGCTTGGCCAAAACGAATGCAGTGTGCCGGAAACATTACGCTATCATATTGGTTCACCAAGCACACGAATTGCCACGTCTGAGTTCTCGTACAAAAGCTAGAAAAGTGCCAGCGAGTGTGACCGGCGGCTGTCGGTGAGAAGACACTTAATTACGTTCTCTGGGAGTGCTTCAATCGCGTCGCATCGATGTTTGTTTCTTCTTGAGCGGACACCATACACAATGAAAAATGCTTCATTTAGGTTAATTGATGCCATATGGCTGCGCTGTATTGTCATACTTAATCGTCGTAATCATGTATTCTGAAACTCAGAAGCACGGATAACACAATTGTACGGGCTCGGTCAGTAGGCCTAACCTTTGGTGGAAATCATGGTGGTAGAACATGTAGTGTACAGATCCCAGCTTTGTACACTATATAAATTGCACGCCATTATAAGCCCACCCATCATCTGCTTACTTCTTCCCAGCATTATCGCGATGGTGGGCAGAGCTTCTCAGCTTGGTACACCATGTGGCCCACCATAACAAGCAGCACCCATCATCTGCTTAGTGCTTCCCAGCATTATCGCAATGGTGGGAAGAGTTGCTCAACTTGGTACACCATGTAGCCCACCATAATAAGCACCACCCAACATATGCTTAGGGCTTCTCAGCATTATCGCAATGGTGGGCAGAGTGTCCCATTATTGCCCACTATCTAGCCTCTGCTTTCCACCATCATTTCCACTTTACCCATCATCTGTACACCATACCACCCAGTATGTCCCAGCATAACCACCATATTTTCCACTACGTCCCACCATAGCCATCATAATTTCCACCATGCCCACTATTATTTCCACTACTCCCACCATGTTTTCCAGTATCCACCATGGCAATTTTTCCGATAGGGAACGTTAAAACGAAGCATTATTTATTTATTTATTTATTTATTTATTTATTTATTTACAGTATCTTACAGAGCCCTCGAGGGGCATTGTGTAAGGGGGGCGGTACAGATAATATGTTAGAAAAATAAATATACGTAATATCTACACATACATAGGCAAATAATGAATATAATAGAAAATGCAGTTCTACCTATGAACATGTAAGCAAAATACAAACTAGAAAAGTGAGTTACAGTATGTGAAGGAGAAATACAAAAAAAAACTATTATGACAGTAACTACAACCTAGCAATAGTGCAAAAACACCGGCAACAGTCCTATAAACACCGGTGATTACGAAAATACGATAGAGCAGTTTTTGGAGCATAAGTATTTTTTAAGAGTATGATAGAACTTTGTGTGGTCTTGTTCTGACGCAAGATCATCTGGCAAATCATTCCACAAACGAATAGCTCGTGGAAGAGCCGACTGGTTGAAAGTGTTAGTATTGCCGTACATGCGTGATAAGCTAAAGGTGTTATGTAGTCTGCTCGAAGTTTGATGTGCTAGATTAAGGTGAACAGATGGCATCATGCTGGTGTGGATGAGTTTGTGAAATAGGGATAAAAGTGAGATGTCGCGGCGAATTTTCAGTGGCTCGAGTGCAAGGCTATGTTTAATCTGTGTTACGCTAGACGGATAGCTGTGATTACGCGCTATGAATCGACTAGCTCTGTTCTGTATACATTCTAACTTATCTATGAGGTATTGTTGATATGGTGACCAAATGGAGGATGCGAACTCCAGTTGAGGACGGATTAGAGCAAGATAAGCCAGTTTGCGCACATCGGAGGGAGCACTGTATAAATTTCGGCACAGAAAACCTAATGATCTCGATGTGTTGGCACAGATAGAAGTGATATGTGTAGACCACAAAAGTGTAGAAGTTAAGTTTATGCCTAGGTATTTGTAATGATCAGCGCGTTCTACAATGCTATTATCAATTTTGTATCGGCTATTAAAGTTATCACGTTTGCGATTAAAGGTGATTAGTTTGCATTTAAAAACAGTTGCGCACTTTCCGGATGCAAGGCACCTTGATGACGTTGAAGTACACGTTGCCAATGGCGTCCGCTATGTGGTTCTTTGCCCGCCGCAGACAGTTGTAGAAGTCGCGGTCGCAGTCACAGTGCGATCTGCGCAACAGAAGACGACGTTACACGCATTATTCACGCCAAGGGTGTGGGAATACCGAACTCAATACAGATACATTAAAAAAAAACAGCCCTATATAGGTTGCACAACGTTTTATTTGAAACAAATATTTATTTATTTATTTTGTTTGAGTACGCAGAAAACACGAAGACAGTGAAAATAGGGAGGGAACATGCTGACAACTGCCACCTATAGGAGCACAACGCCTGCCTGCTCCTTCGGGAAGGGGAGGCATAAAGGAAATAACGAAGGAAAGAACGAGAGAGTAGAATGTTAAAAAAAAGAAGGAACAAAAAAACACGAAAAGAAGTATTCCATCAAATCTTTTGCTTTTTCGAAGTTTTTTTTTTTTGCGGGTGCTGATTACTCTTGAAGTGCTAAACAAGTCGTGGGTATTTCGAGTATGCCCTAGCTGTTTAGTTCGAGTACTGACTTATTACTTACTGATACGTGGGGTCTAACGGCTCAAAACCACCATATGATTATGAGAGACGCCGTAGTGGAGGACTCCGGAAATTACGGCCACCTGGAGTTCTTTAACGTGCATTAAAATCTGAGCACACGGGCCTACAGAATGTCCGCTTCCATCGGAAATGCAGCCGCCACAGCCGGGATTCGATCCCACGACTTGCGGGTCAGCAGACGAGTACCTTAGCCACTAGACCACCGCGGATACACAGTTTGAGTAGGGAATCGGACAAAACTATTTGATTCGTTGCTCGAAAATTTCGTATAGTCACGCACTCTCAATATAGATATCACAGAGAAACACACTTTAGATTAAAAGGAGACTTTCAAAAGTTATTAATAGGATTTAAAAAAAAATGAGAAAGAAATGCGCAACATATGCTCTTGTTCTCACTAAGCCGTAGGCGCACGCGCACGAACAGCTAACGTTAAAACGAAGCAATATTATTATTATTATTATTATTATTATTATTATTATTATCATCCAATCGCGTGCTCTGTAGAGATCGCTGACTGTTCCTCTGAACACGTTCAATTCACTGCCTTTCGAATTGAAATCATCGCATAACATCCATATTTTCACTTCGCGCAGTAAGAAATACTATTACGTTCAGGAATTAATGAACTCATCCGATTTGTGAAATTAACTGTTAATAGCTCTCCACAGTTCTGTGCTATTTTACTACTTCAATTTGCCTTTGTATAATTGATAACACTGATAATGAAACGTGTTGCATTTGTCACGTAGAGTTCATTAATATTGTTTTTTTGTCTTCACTTGCTTTTGACTATTTTCTTGTTATTTTTCAATATTGAGTATTACCATTATGTTGTGTATTGATCATATTTTTATTGTTAATCAAGATTATTCATTATTACTCACAAGTCCGTATACTATTGCTGTAATTTTTGTAATTACCCCATCCATGTAGCCATAGGAGGTCCCCCTGTCAGTTTCTCTGAAACTTTGGGACCTCCTGCTGTAATAACGCTAACCATGTAACTCAACTGAACTATTTAATAAACTTGACTTGACTTGACGTGCACACCACGACGAGAGCTGCTGAATGAACTATTCCTCCATCATTCGCCCCACTCCCGACCAGGGAGGCACAACGCCCGTCACTCGCGTCTGTTTTTGCTTCCGTGCAGCCAGGCGTGCCAAGCAAGCTGAACACGCGACCGGGCCGCTGTGCAAATGTCGAACTTCCGTGCCACTCTGAACAATTGCGCTTCGACGTGTGCGGTCAAGTGGGTCGAATCGTACATATATGTATACGGGAATCAGTGTCACGATATTTTCGCGACAAAGACACGCCTGGCAGAGCGAGGAGGCCCTGGCATGCATACCTGCAATCTCTGACACAGAACGCGGAGGCAGGAAATTCTGTGGCACAAATTATTGCAAATGAAACGTACAAGGTGCAGCGAGCTCGTGGCGCTTCTGATTACCGAATTATTGATAAAACTGCGTCGGCGCATGACGGTTTTTCGGATGGCCATCATTTTGCTTACGTATTTCCGAGTGCATTGCCGAACAGAATTCGTTGTGTGTTCGGTGGGCCGCATGTAGTCAGTCCATCGTCCATTCTCCATGGACTGTACAGGAGTAAATTTATGCCTCAAGCAATGACGTCACCAAAACACGAACTTACTGTATAGTTTATGTGAACACGTGAAAAGCATCGGTGATCATGCGAGATTCTTGTTCTTTAACACGCATACCACTCAGATGTTTTGCCTCCCACGACCGGCACCCCTAAATCAACTTGTGCAGAGTCATTCGCCGATCTCTGCGTTTTCGTCGATTATTACGAACAAATCGATGACTCCCTTGTGCGCAAATAATAATAATAATAATAATAATAATAATAATAATAATAATAATAATAATAATAATAATATAACTTGTAGATAGATAGATATGTGGGGTTTAACGTCCCGAAACCACCATATGATTATGAGAGACGCCGTAGTGGAGGGCTCCGGAAATTTCGACCACCTGGGGTTCTTTAACGTGCACCCAAATCAGAGCACACGGGCCTACAACATTTCCGCCTCCATCGAGAATGCAGCCGCCGCAGCCGGGATACGAACCCGCGACCTCCGCGTCAGCAGCCGAGTACCTTAGCCACTAGACCACCGCGGCGGGCCAATAATATAACTTGTGCTTTTACGTCCCAAAACAACAATTTGATTATGAGGTGGGCCGTAGTGGACAGATCCAGAATTTTTTGTACCGTAAGGTGTTCTTTAACGTTCACCTAAATCAAAGCATGCACACGTCTCAGGCATACGACTTCCATGGAAATGTGGCCGCCACGGCCGGGATTCGATCCCGCGGCCTTTGGGTCAGACTATATAACCACTATAGCCCATTGCCGCGCGCTGCATGCATGGTTCGTGACCCACACAAAACAACATGAAGTGATGACGCCATTCTAACTTTGGTTAGTACTAAATTAACGAGAATATGTGGTGAATAGTGCTGACCCATAACCTAGCCGTTATTTTATGATAAAAACGTCGTTGAAAAATTCGCGCATGTTGTCGATACCAGTTAAATTTCCGACAACATACATCAACTTTGAGAAAACGAGCTATAACATATATTTGCATTGTTTCGTGAAGTCCACCTAAATTGTAGCTGTACAGTGGTCGGCTGCTTTATTATATATATATATATATATATATATATATATATATATATATATATATATGTGTGTGTGTGTGTGTGTGTGTGTGTGTGTGTGTGTGTGTGTGTGTGTGTGTGTGTGTGTGTGTGTGTGTGTGTGTGTGTGTGTGTGTGTGTGTGTGTGTGTGTGTGTGTGTGTGTGTTCACCATCGAAACAGGATGTTTGTTTCTGTCTGCACTGCATTGTAGAAACTTCCCGGATACCTTGAAGGTACGGAGCCATGCACGTTGCGTATGCGTCTTCTTGCCCCGTCTTTAGCGCTGTTTTATTATTCTTCGCCTATACCGTGCAGCAGCAACCAACCCACTCAACCACGCCATTAAAAGTAAGACCCATGCGTATATACGTGTAAGAACTCTATTAGGGCTGCAGCTACCGGAAGCGGTCACTCACTTGGTGTACAGGGAGAAGTTGACCAGGTCGTATCCCGTGCGGAATGCCTTGAGCTTGACCGGGCAATGGTCGTGCGCGCGGCAGCACACGTCCACGGTCACTTGGGAGCCCAGGTCTTCGTACGAAGACGCGATGTCCCCCAGGCCGCACCACTTGGTGCCTGCATTAGCAACTGCTTGCATCGCGCCACTGGAAGGGTGTCTCGCGGAGACGGCAAAACTTCGCTTCTGTGGGCCAAGCTGGTGCATGGCTAATAGAAATAAATACATGCAGGTGCTTCAAGGCTGCTATTTTACCTCCCCCGCACCTTCCTCTGTTTTTCTGCTGATGAATCAGACATTTTAGTGATAACTGTTGGGTTTAACGTCACAAACCACGACATGAATATGAGAGACACCGTAGTGGAAGGCTCCGGAAACTTCAACCACCTGGTAACGTGCACCTAACCACTCGACTCGACGTTCCCCCATAACCACACCCGCCACGGTGGTTTTGCGGTGATCGATTGTGACCCGCAGGTCGCGGCGAATTTTCGGCCGCAGTGGCCGCATTTTCGACGGAAGCGAAAATGCTTGAGGCTGGTGTACTCGCGAGATGGTAATATATGCACAGAAAGAGAATGCAGGCCACACCGTCCCGTGTGGTCTTCAATCACTTTGTCGCAAGTTCGGCAGATGTTCAGCAGGTCCACTTCACTCCCTCGCCAATTCAAATCGGCTTTCGAAGCGATCTGTTCTTTTATTCGAAACAACATATCTCCAAGATATCAGGCGATGCTTTGTAGTTATCATCTCCAAGCAAGATTTCTGCGTTACGCAATAATAATATGTTTCACTTCTCAGTATCTTTTTTACTGCCAAGAAATCGCACTACTCATGAATTATGCTGTACTTGCCGGGCCTTACACTGAGTGTGTTGGATGTCATATTGCCATTTTTGTAGCGATTGTATAATTTGTTGCCTAGTGCATATGTACTGTCTAGTCGAACCTAACTTATGTTAGTGCCTACTTAAACTGTGTTCTTTTGAATATGTATCTCCATTCTAATATGCTGTTCATTACTGCTACCATTTAGTAGCCCTTGTATAGTTAATGTAGAGAATATATGCATTGTCTGATTCAACCTTACCTACGTACGCGCCTACTTGAAGATACCCCCTTTCCTGCAACAGCCTCAGATGTGAGGCTAGCAGTATCTTCAAATAAATAAATAAATAAATAAACATCAAAACAGAGCACTAAACAAAGCCACAGGTGCGTTCGATACCGCAAGCACGAAGACTAGGCAAATCCGTCACTCACATCATTACTGAACCATCGCAGTGCCAGATTTGCCCCTATAGCCAATATTACGAAACTCTATCCCTGAAGAGACGTGTAGTATGCGCACCTGGTATGATTCCGCTCCAGATGCTCGAGGCGCTCCACTGCGGCGTGCTGTTGGTGCTGGCGGACCAGTCGTGCAGGTCCCGGCACTTCGAGATCAGGCTCAGCATGGTCGGGAATTCCACCTGCTGCACGGGCAGGCCCTGCGCTTTGATGATTGGCTCGGCCTCACGCTCATCGCTGCGTGTACACCAAGTAGCATGCATGCCGCACGCTTCCACTCGCATACCATCTATTTTTCATTACAGTTACCCCTAAGTACACCTGCGTCGGAGGTATATGCTAAATAAAAGGGCCACAAACACTGTGCCCATACATATACAGGCACATACAAAATTCGTGAATAGTAAGGGGAAAAAATTAACGTAACACATAACATGAAAAGCGCGTAAACGTAATAAAGTTATTGGTTGGTGAAGAAAAAAAACGTAAAGAACAGCCACACAAAAGTGAAAGGTTCGGCAATATTTTTCATTGCCATGTCACCAGGATGTAATCGCACGTTCTGGCCGGTGGTTGGCCACTTAAAGTTTCAGCTGACCATGTCGGTATCGACGCAGAAAGCTTTAAGCATGATTTCAGTAACCCGTGTCGAGATCTCAATACAACCTGCCTATCGGGATAGATTTGTGAGAGCGGAAAAAGCGCAACAGAGCGACCGGTCTGGCTGGCGCGATCGAAAAGGAAGAGCGGACAACAATCTTTTCGGGGTAACGCAAGCACACCTTCTCGCGGCGTATACGACAGTCGGCCGAGAGTTCTTCGGAGGGATTCACTAAAACCGTACAGCAATGTTGCAAAGCTGACCACGAGCTTCGACGCAGGCGCGTCGTGGACAGTGCTGTGCAGGATATGGGCAACCCGAATGGATATAAAAGGTACGAAGCCGTGAGAAGCAGACGTGAGAGACGGAGTTGCATTCATGATTCGGTTCGAATAATTTCCAGAAGTTCGAAAAGGTTTAAAAACAGTTAACTTCCTTCGGCAAGATTTTTTTCCCATGCGCTATACAGACGAAGACGAAAGCACGGAAAAACAATAAGGCGCAGTTTCTCTGTTTTTAATCCCCGCCTGTTTCTCACCGGAAAAACCGTGCCCAAGACCATGGACAAACTAAATCGCACAAGAGTAATTTAACTTTCCCTCAATGTCTGGGAGATCACTGTCACGTGACACCACGTCGGGAGCTTCGGAGCGCCGTCGCATGCACTCTGACGTGGCTGCGGCCACATGCACAGGCGTGAAGAAAACGGTATAGACTATTTCACGGGTGGATTTCGTTGACCGCATGTTGGGCTATAAACCCTGCCGCTTGGTAGCAGTAACAGTGCTTGTAGAGGCATACTCACGAAAACGGTAGGGCTGGTGCATTCGAAGTTTTTTCCCCTCATCAATTAGTGTCGCCATATCAGAAAAAAATTGGTAGATCCACGTACAGTGGGAATCGATGATATGCGAAGCACGAATGAGAAAGGTCGATATGTCCGACATGTCTTCGTAACGATATGTCCTCGTAACGTTGTGCTCATTTTAAAGTGACTTTAAAACCGTCGTCCATTCCCGCCACGTAATACCGAATTTGGTATATGTGAAGCAAGCGAAACGGCCGCGAGGGCGCTATGAGCGTAGCATGCGATGTGTTACGTGACACGAATGCCATCATTGCCATGATTATCAAGTTCGGACGAGTAATTTATCTTCGCCGTCTATTCACGCCACGTGATACCGAATTTGGTACATGTGAAGCTCACTAAACGGCCGCGAGCGCATCATGAGCGTGGTATGCAGTCATGTTCATGCATCACACGATTGTCGCGATTTCCACGTGAGGGCCTGTCACTTATGTTCGTCATGAAGTCAAGTCATACCACCTATACAAGTATTGCGATATATCATGTGAACGAAACCACCGCAGGAGCAGCAAGACCATGACATGTAAATCATGACATTCATGACATGCATGCAATGATCTTCATATTATGACTAGTGACTTATGCTCGCCACAAAGTGATGTTATGCCATGCCAGTTTTGGTGTAGGTCCTATTATCTAAACGGCCAGGATAGCTAAAGGTCGTAGGCGGACAGACAGACAGACAGACAGGCAGGCAGACAGACAGACAGATAGATAGATAGATAGATAGATAGATAGATAGATAGATAGATAGATAGATAGATAGATAGATAGATAGATAGATAGATAGATAGATAGATAGATAGATAGATACGGTCAAACTCGACGAAGTGCGCCGAGAAATGCTTCACATATAAAAAATAAAATCTGAGAGCTCAAAGCATGTGGGAAAGAGTGTTTCAGCTCCACTAACCTGAAACGTGGGGAGGGGCGAAGGATGTCGTGTTTTGAGAGAGGTGCGAGGCACTGCCAAGCCTGAAACCGGGGGGAAGGGCGTTTCCGCTTCACTGACTGTTACTTTCTTCATTATAGTGAACCGGTGGCGAGTAATAAAATTTACCCAATTTTCGCGGCACTTGCGATTTACGATGGACCGTGACGCTGACAAACCGAGCCCGTCAGGTGCCTCGCACAGAAAAAAAAAAAAAACAGTCGCTTAACTGCCCATGGTAGCGTAGTCGTCGTGTATTATATACGTAAAATTGCCTTCACTCGTCCAGAGAACCTTTTCGGCGGCTCAGCTAGCTGCACCAGAGCCTCGCTGGATGCACCGAACTGTACTCCACCGCATTTCGGCCAATAGCGGTCACTAGCCGCGGCAGGTATTCTGCGTTGGCGACGTATGCAGGCCATCCCCCTGCGGCGAGGTCAAGGACGCCTGCAGAAGGGGTTCCCTCCCCACGGAATGGGGCCGTTGAACTCGTCCAGCTTGGACAGTGCGCCGAGGGAAAGTTGATCATGTCGACCGATGGCCGTGCGCGGCCTAACGAAAACGACAGCGGGCGTAGGCAAGCATCGTTTGCTCGCCGAAAACTGCGGCGGAGGGCGAAACGCGGAAACGGACGCAGCCACTGCTCGAGTGCAGAGGGATGCGAGCACACGCTCCAGGTTGTTCTGAGGCTGCATCCAGACTGACATCTGCGTGGATAGCTGCAGTTATTCCGGAATACCACGGGTGACACTCTGGTTTAAGAGACTCCGGCACATCCGCATATTAACGTTTAATTGTCCTGGGAAGTGTCGCTTTTCTTAGATTCGTTTCAAAGGAAGAGAAGCAAACGACGTACTCAATGAGTCGGCTTTAATGAGGCATGAATGTGCTTTAACGTTTTTTTTTTCCTCATTAGTACTTTATTCAGTCAGTGTGCTTCGTTTCTGTCACCACAATGATGTATATAGTCGTGCGCAATGGCATCTGCGGTAATTGCGTCTCTCAACCCATTTGTTTTATGCCAATGCTCTGTGAAAGCTACCGTCTGCCATGATGTGACGGTGACAGTTGTATGATGCGCTGGCATAAGGCTCTGACGTGGCTTCAGCAACATGGCACAATTTCTGCATGCCCGCAGACAAGAACCCCCGAAAAAGGAGCATACTGTAAGCCGTATATTTGAAGTTTTTAAAGTTTGACGGAGACCCGTTTGGTCGGGATGATACATGGTCGAAGGTAAAAAACCTGGAGACACTACGCTGACCAAAGTAAGAGTTACACACACACACACACACACACACACACACACACACACACACACACACACACACACACACACACACACACACACACAGAGAGAGAGAGAGAGAGAGAGAGAGAGACAGAAAAAGACGTTTCAGCTCCCACATGAAAGCCACAAGCACTTGTGAACAAGGCTTCCATGTGGAAGACGAAACGTCTTTTTTGTTCTATGTTTTCTTTTCCTTTTTAAATCTTACTTTGGTCGGCGCAGTGTCCCCAGGTTTTTTACCTTCAACCAAGCCATATATTTGAGACACAAGAACGCTACTTCCACGGTGCGATATCGCGGGACAGTCGGCCCACTATAGGACTATGCCAATTAGTACCAGCAGGCTCTCAATAAAGGTAACAAAAAAAAAAGAAGAAGTCTGCACGCGTTTTAACCAACGGCACTCCGCTTCGTCGTAATAAGCCACGTCCTTGAATGGAATGCCCATCGTTGACAACGACGAAGTAACATAAATGTATGCAGAAAACGTTAAGTCATTTGAGTTGGTAACGATCCATCACGAGAAACACTCATAGACAACGACCGAATGCGTATTCAAAACTTGAGTGTCGGCTCCACGAAGTTCATAAAAGTTATAAGTTACGCCGCCTCGGCAAGGATAGATGTGAACTGTGTCACACACCCCGGAAAGCTATGGGTCGCCAGTCATATGACGTACTCTATAGCCACTTGCTGTGCAGACTGTGTCATGCAAGCATCATACCGGTGACCTCTAAACAAAGCCGGTACGGTTTCGTTTGTGCACAAAACAGCTCACAGGTGCAGGCAGAAAGCAAATGCGTAGTATCAAGCAAACGCATTAACGTCTAAAAAGTGGCACTGGCGACGCCATAACCAGCCCCTATTTGTTACAGGCGTTTGGAGCCCAAAGGAGACGGCAGCCACCGGGGGGAATTAAATATCTTGCCGAACAGGATCTCCGGTATACCGAACGTGTGCTGATCGCATTGCAATGGCCTCGTGGGCAGCGTTTCTGTGCCAAGCTCGCCCGGCATCCGCTTTTGGAAAACCGTGCACGTACTTCAATTCGCGAGGGTACGATGCGTGTACGTGCCATGGTGATGGCTGCATCAGATTCCTTCTTCTTCTCATCGATGAAAGAAGGATAAGTGAGATGAAGTTTAATGAAAGCGTTCTGGGCCAGAACTGTGACGTGCATGTTGTGACGCGTCCTTTTTTGAAAACACATTGAGACACTGCTGTCTTCAAATGCCCTCTAGCCGATACAGGGCGGTTTAATTTCCTGAAGAATTCATTAATGATTTTGTATAGCCGGAAGTACGCGTCGACACAGAAACGGGCACTGCGTCATGAATAATTTCCACCGTGATGGCTCAACCTATACACAACACCTCAGTGTGAGCACAGTACGTGGTGTAAAAGTAGCGCTATAAATGTGGGTGTAGAATCATATTAATACATACAGATATATATATTATTTTTATTTACAAATACTGCTGGCCAGAGACCAACGCAGGAAGGGCAAGATAATACAGTTGTCATACACATTTCAAAATAACATCAACAATAAAGAGAGTAAAAAGTGGAAAGCGTGACATATTTATACAAAAGCAACAAAAGGAAAGAGTGGGGAGAGAAAAGAGGAAATAGTTGGAATAGTTTGAAAAACAACTTCAAAATTCAGCGTAAATAAGATTTATATTTGATACAACCCGCTGATGTTCCAAGTAATTTCGGGGATGTGTTTAAGCGACCGGCGCTCCCCTTATTTACGGATATCGGTCAGTGGACAGGGCGACTTGGAATAGATCAATCTAATCTCAGGACAATAATAGCCAACGGATCCGCCAATGCTCCAAGTGCCGTGTCTCAAGTTGCAGATGTTTCTGTTGACACGCAAACCACCGCCGTCCACTGCTGCGACGGACGTACACAGAAAAGCAAGTTTCCGGAGGGCCTGAACACCACAAAGATGTGCGTCAGGGAGTGTCGTTCCAGACGAGATTTCGAATGCATGCACGCTCGCACGCACCACAGAACTCGCAAAAAGAAGAAGCGTCTTCTTCTAGGCGGCAGGAACGACCGAGCTAACCGAGTCTCTCTCTCTCTCTCCCTCTAAAAGATAGGTAGCTGCAGCTTTGTTTGCGTAGCCACCGCAAAAGTTCGCCTCAAACTGTGGTGCAGGGCCAAAGCAGTCGCGCACAACGTTTGTTAAGCTCTCACAGCGGGCTTCGTATGTAAAGAAGTCGAAGTTGAACGAAGTGGAACTTGAAGAAACGTTGACGGGAAGGTCTGCTAGCCATTATACCTGGAAGCAGGCGCAGTACATTTGGGCAGTAGTGGGGGAGGGCGAACACGGCTTTTCTAGCGCCAGTAGCGTGACTGCCGCAGTCGCAGGTGCGAGTCCCCCACCAATCCTTTCTCTGGTCTTCAAGCTCCTCCTGCCTCTGTATGCGACAGCGATTGGACACATACTGGTGGTGGTAATGGTTAGAAGAAGCCCAGTTGGGAGCACGGCGCAGCGCCTGACACAAACACACACAAACACACACACGCGCGCGCGCACACACGCGCGCGCACACACACGCACAATAATACCCTACAGGCTGCAAACGCTGCCCCCAGCAACTTCCTCTCTCTCTCTCTCTGCTCTCTGTATATCCTGAGGCTGATGGCCTTTCAGATGTAAAATATGCGTTCCTTCCCTTCTCTTACGTATATACTTGACCGCTGTAGATGAAATCATCGTGTGGAGTACCAGCATGGGAGGACACTACGTTTGCGATGTCACAGCATTGTTGTAAAGGTGCAGGTTCTCTTCTGCCAAGTCGTTTTCACATTTTTGTCATCAGACACCATCGCGGAGTGCCGGTACGTTCAGAAGCTGCGTCCATCACGTCACGCGCAAGCTATCTATAACTTGACGGCACTCTTCTCCTTCGGAAACGAAGCAGGGTGACTAAGCTGGCCGCGAGCCCGGGGTACTGTGCACGTCCTGAACACGAACGTCTTCAGCCATCTCTAGTGTCTTCGATCAATATACGAAGGCTGTGAAAACGATTGTTCTTCGAATAGCGGAGAGCTGCGCTATGGTTGTAAGTATTCATTCTGGAAAGACAGCGCGCACAAACACGGACACAAGAAAAATTTCACTTCTTTCTTGTGTTGGATTCTTTGTCCTCTCTAAGCACACGCGCCCTGGAAACGTCTTCCTTGTACGGCCTTCATAATAATCGATAAGATAGACGGAAAATGAACATTTAGACAAGGCAGAGTCATACAAAGGTACTTTCCGAGGGAGAGATAAAAGCAGAATTTCTTTGTGTATAACTATCCTAGCGAATGTACATTGGTGTCCAGTATCAGTTGCAACACGGTGACCATGGCTGAAGGGACGTCAAGACTGCATTGCAACACCGGCAAACGTGGTATTAGCTATCGAAAAGCCAAATACTGTCCACATCACGGATTGACATCTATATCGGCAGCGCCATAGTCGTGGGCAAGGTTCTTCGTTAGAGGTAGCGGGGCGGGGGCGGGGGGGGGGGGGGGGGAGTAGGGCAAGTTTTAACTAAGCGCTTGGTTGGTCGATTGCGAAAGACAATGAGTTTCGCAATGGGCACAGAGACGAAAATAAAACAACGAGGTTCATGTAATAAAGGCCTGCCCATGGCCCCCGGAATAAAGGTGGGAATTAAATTAGGTGAACATGTAGATCGTTGAACGCGACTGCCAAAGAACATGAGTAGCCATAACCCAGCGCATTAAAAAAGATGACGCAAATACTCCATATGGGCGCCACAGTGTAGTTCCGGTGCCCTTTGACAACGGGGGGGGTGGGGGGGGGGGGGGGTATGGTGCAGCTCATATGAGAAATGGCGGTGAGAATGTGCCCACTCCCATTTCTTTTGAAGTTTATTCCTTCGCATTGCAACTGATATATGACACAACTGTACATTATATTGAAATACGCTATTTATTGACTTTCTTAACCCAGCGAGAAGCTATGCACACAATTGTGTACACACAACTTGTATTTGCTATTTGTATCGACTATAGGGGCTATAGAGAGATACAATTAATGAGTTTCGGATGAATGTTACCTCCTGCACTTAAGTTAATTCTGCAGCTTACTGTCGCCAATCACCACTTTACTGAAGTCATTCGACGAGTCTTATGACGTGCCCCTTCGCGTGGTCCACGTCAAAAGTATTATTTATTTTTTTGCCTCAGCGTGAACATTGCCAAAAATGAATGAGCACATACTTTTCTAGCCTAAGATTTCATTCGATTTAAGCAGAAACAGAGCATGAATGGCTTCTGGACAATTAGATATTCAACTAAAGTAATTAGGAGTGATTGGTTTAACAAAGATAAATTAACGCATTACGACATAATTTTTGTTGGACTATAGTATCCAGTACCTTGAAATAAGATTATCGATTTGGCGCATTTTCAGACACTTCGTTACAGGTGACGTCTGAAAGGTTGAAAGGATAAAATTTAAATAAAAGAGAGAGAGAGCGAGAGAGAAGAAACAGGCTTAAGTTATTGTCTGGAGCACAGGCGTACGCACGGGAAGTCAACTACGATGGAGAGGGGGGGGTCTAGAACATACATGGACTGTGACGAACCTTTTTGCCCCCCCTTCCCTCTCCTCCGGGAAAACCCTGCTCGTGCTCATGGTTTGGAGTATATATACGAACAAATAGGCCCCGAACCTTCGGTACAATAATTGGAAAAACCCAACCCATACATTCAGTGTTAGCGCACATCGACAAATAAATGAACTTCAGTTTCTATAACGCATATTTATCAATTTTGTGCCTGTGACTTCGGCTGGGTTGGTAGTCGACTCAGAGCGACTGAAAGCTTTTTTCGACACATTTGCTCCTCTTTCCGCGACTACATCTTACAACTGCGGGTGATCAGAAATCGCGGCAAAATGTTAAGTACGCTACAAATAAGTGCGGGTTTCTGTGTAACGCCAGTCGCATAACTGACCACGGCGGTACATGCTGGAAAACGTGCGAAACGCAACGACGTGCACGCTTGATGTTGAGTCTCGCGTTTCGATTAAACGAGATATTTCAAAGTTCTATAACGTTTCATAAAAACACTACACTCTTGGCCAACGTTAACGAGTGAGCGTGAGTCAAAGTTGAAGGTTAATAAGAACAAGCCGATTGAAGAACATGAAGAGAACGAAGGAGAAGTTTTGGATGACTGCCAATTGGGCGTGTTGGTGATTGTTCATGATGAGACAAGCGCAAAAAATACACACACTCAGAGAGGACTTGTTAAGCGCTTGTCTGTGTCCTCTCTGAGTGTGTGTATTTTTTGCGCTTGTCTCATCATGAGAAGTTTTGGGGCTCACGAATAACAAAACAAAGCCTTTTAAATTTTCAACTGCGCATTCTTGACCAATTCCCCAGAGTGGGTACGTGCCATAAGTTTCAAGGTAAAAACAAGCAAAAGGGCTCACTCGAGCTCAAAGAGGCGGCAGGTCTGCAGCGTGACTCCGTCGGCACCGTACTCCACCCGGGCGATCGTCTTGCCGTCGTAGTACATCACCGTCTTCGCCTTGGCAGTCGGAGCAGGCGACATCGGGGACGGCATCGCCGCAGACGGCGGCGACTTCGCAGGGGTGGTCGGCTGGCTGGCCTGCCCGCAGCCGCAGAGCACCAGGACCAGGACGCCCATCCAGCGGGCTCTGGTGCCGCGGCGAGGCATGCTCGGCAAAGCAAGCCGCGACGGAGCGACGCAGTAGCCTGCCCGTCGCTGCGACAACACTACGCGGATGCGGGTCAGCGCACCGCTCGCGCCAGAAAGTGGGCCGCCGCACCGGCCAGGCTGGCCGCCGACACGTGCTTCGCGACTTCGAGCAGTGCGCTACGATCCCCTTCCGCGTATCCCCCGCCATTCCCACTCCCTTTCTCGTTCTGCAAATGGCCCCCCCCCCCCCCCCCGTTTAGCGCGCCCCTTTACTTTTTTTTTTTTCCCCTCGTCCGCTTCGTTTTTTTCTTTTGGCTGCCAGTCCACATGATACGGATGCCAACTTGGCGACAGTGCACTTTCTCCCTTCGTGGAGAGTCGGTGTAAAACCGAGAAATATCAGCATACTTGTCAAATCGGACCCCATTCGTCAAACGCTATTCGACTCGCTACTTTTTTTAATGTCCAGTTTACTAGCACAAGTAAATCAGCCTCATCGGCCCTTGGCATCCGTCCTTGGCATCATTGCGTGTTATCACATTGATATTGTGTCTAACAAAGATAAAAACAAACATATCGGTTCCCCTCTGCTTTATTTCAGTTAATTGACAGCTGATAGTCGCTTTAAACAAACACTAAAGAGCAAATATATATTTTTGTAGAAGCGTGTGTTCCTTGCTGATTATGTACTGGTGTAACCGTGATGCGCAATATTGCACGATATGGCTCTCTTCCAAGAGCGGAGCACTTTAAAAGGCCGGGGAGTTTTATGCTGTCTTTGTCGCTTTGCGTAATGCTCCATTTCTAAGTTGAGCACGCGCTCGCGCCAAGGAGAAGTCTTCTTCCTTTTGTTCTTCCGGTGCCTTCAATTGACGATGATCACGTGTCATCGTCAGCAATAAAAAAATCGCCATCTTCCGCTAAAGGAAACCATGTGTAGATGCGAAGCAGCGAGCGCTAACGGTTACACTGGCGGCGACATTGCCGCTGGCGCTCATCAAGCGAAAGCCAAATAAAGACGTCCTTGACTGAATTTTGAACGCGCAATCCAGTGCCTATATATGCGGGGTGGCTTTTCTTATGTGATTCCTAAATGAAAAGTGATAATGAAATGAAAAGAAGATAAAAGTGAGCCCTGTAACTGTCTCTCAGGACACCTCAACAGTAGCTCACAAGGGATTAAAAGGATAGGATTTAAAGGTATATAAATAGAGAGAGGGAGGAGAGAGCATGGGGCAGGGACAGCGACATCCAGAAGTAAGAAGAAGATAGGAAGGACGGGACACCACTCGGCGAGAGGTCTTGTCGGCGGCAGGAGATGGCGTAGGGCGAGCCAGTCAGCCAGAGCTGCGCTGTCGTCGGAGATCGCGGGAGCACAACCGGTCGGCACGAAATCCAGCGAGCGAGTACCCGGGGCCGGGGTGGCCAGTGAACGGTTGTGCAGCGCGAGCAGTGGGTTCTGCCAGCGTCGGCCTTGCGAGGCGAGAGAGTGAGGGGGGAGCGACAGTTTTGCGGGTGTCTTCCTGGGCCGCCACGAGACGCGAGCAAGCGCAGTATGGGTGTACGGGGGGACAGCGTTTCACAGGCTAGTCGAAGAGCTGCTCCGCATCTAAAAAAAAAAAAAACAAACAAACTATTGTAATGTGTTTGGCGCAACACAGGAAAAACCACGCATAAAAAATTACGGCATTTCCACGGAGTGAATGATGATGAGTGGGGCGAAGCGTCCGTCCGTCTCTCCATCTGTCTGCGTGTTTGTTTGTCTGTCCGTCCATCCATATGCCCATGTATGCATCCATCCGTCCGTCCGTCCGTCTGTCTGGTGACGAGCACGAGCCACCACGGCGCTCTACGCCTGCTGCTTTGCTTCGTCCATGCCCCACCAACTATCCGCCACGTACGGCGACGATCCAGGTGACAGAGAGGCACTCCTTCCTCGCGCACCCAGACTGACAACCCACGCAGCAGCCAATCGGAGAGTAGCGGCACAGCGCCATTTAGAATATCCTCACTCAACTGCAGTTCGTATGTACTTCTATGAGACAGCGCCGTCTATTATTCTGTCATATTACCTTCCTTTTTTCTTGTGTCCTGTCGGTTACGCCTGACGCAGGACGAAGTTAGACTAAAAGGAGAATCGCCCCTGAAAATCACGCAACTCCATGAAGTAAATGATGATGAGGGACGAAACTAGGTCACAAGGTTCACAATGTGTACGCGGAAGTCACTGACTAGGATAAAAGCTTTGTGCTTCTATTGTTACCTCACAATTATGATTTATAGTGTTCTACTGTACTGTTAAACCTTTGTGTGGGTGTGTGTGTGTGTGCGTGTGTGTGTGTGTGTGTGTGTGTGTGTGTGTGTGTGTGTGTGTGTGTGCGTGTGTGTGTGGTGCTCGCGCGTCTCGCACTCGGATATACGAATCTCCCCGTGAGCAAACACACACACACACACACACACACACACTCATGTACCTATAAACATGCCTTTGGAAAATAAATATCCAAATAATGTTTGCAGAGTGTCATTATAGGGAATGCCTACAAATACCGTAACAAACTCGAACAATTCTATAGCCCTCAGTCACATTCTTCTCGTTGCAAACTGTATTAACTATGAGTTTGCTTTGTTTTGTTGTTTTTGCCCTCACTCTTCTTGGGCCTGCATAAAGTGTGAACTGTTGAATAAAAAAAAAAGAAAGAGAACGTAAGTAACGTACACTATTTCTGTTCCTCCTCTCTCCTTTACTCCTCCATTCACCTCTCCCCGGGTGTAGGGTAGCAAACTGGACTTAGTCTGGTGAACCTCCCTACCTCTCTTATATATTTTTTTCTCTCTATTTCCGTTCCAGCTAAGCCCCTCGCTTACAAATCAGCTATGAAGACATCAGTAGCAGAAGACTTGCTTTTTTGTTTTGTTTTTGCTTCAAAAAACAATATCCTTCGTTTTTAACACGACGGTTTTTATAACGGGGTCCACAAAGAGTTCAGTGACGTTATTTCCGTCACGAAAATAACGTTGGTAAGAATTAACGCAAACGAACGGATCACCAAGAAGAACCAGAAGAGAAAGTTTCGCGCATGACCTAGTTGCCGAACCGACGACATCTCGGTCCGCAGGGTTAGATGTCGGAACCACAACTACCACGGAAGTACGTACACGAGGCTTTACAAACTCGTCTTATATTTTCACACCTACTTATCGAGATAGACGCCAGTTGGAAGTGAACGCCTACACGCGTTCACTGCTCAAGTTAGGAGCTTTGACTATCGTGTTCCTGAAGCACTGCATGGTGGAGAAACGTTTATTTATTTATTTATTTATTTATTTATTTATTTATTTATTTATTTATTTATTTATTTATTCTGCAGTCTCAAGAAGAGATTATGGCAGGTGTGAAATATTGAAGCACGATATAAAAAAGGTACAATTGTATACAAACAAAAATGTCAAGTGAAAAATACAATGCATACAGGCAAAAACAACAAGGCTAAGAAAATGGACAAGAACACAATGAATGTTATCAGCAAATCGTAACAGTAAAATGCAAATATACAAGAACCAGCTGAATAAACACAAAAGAGAATAACATTTGAAGGAGAAAATTGGTCGAACAGATGGTCAAATTGATCAAGATTATGCAATAAGTAGGAACAAATAATAAAACAGAAATATATTCAACGGTTCCAACGAGCTACTGCAAATATTTTTCAAACGAAAAAAAAAACGAGTCTTGTGTTACAATATTGTCGGGTAGGTTATTCCAATCAACAATAGTTATAGGGATGCAGTTATTTCGTGGAAGGGGTTATCGTGAAAGAATGTCTTTGCGTGGTTGTGTAACCCTGGGAATAATTGACAATGTGAGAGGAGTCTACGATGTAATGTCCTTTAACTCTTTGGTAAAATAATTTTAGTCGGCAAATTATGCTTCTATCGCTAACTTATTAGTGCATGCATGAGCATGTGCAAAGGTTATATTGCTGGGGAGCGTATGCTTCGCGTACCAGTGCTTATTATGAGTTTGTTTACGCCATCCTTGCGCGAAATACACCATACATGCTGTATCGCATGCACATGTTAGCTACTTCAACTACCACAATGATGTAATTATGATCACGGACGTTATAATCATCGCAATTAAAATGCGGCACTATAGGCGTCAGCGTCAGTGTATATGCACGTTAAACAGCGATAGCTACAAAATACCAATAGTCATTGCACAAACTCTTATTTATCAATGCGTAATAAACAATCAACTACTACTGTGAAAAAATGTTTCACTTTCACGTTATGACGATTCCTACGACGAAGGGGTGAACCATAGAGTTTCTCACAAACATACCTAGAAGGAAGTGTGGTGCCACCGTCAATGCGAATTTCTCAAGGGCCCCGTTGGAGCGCTGGGAATGACGGTATATGTGTCTGTAAGGTTTGTGTTGGCTGGTGTTGGCTGTAACTGTTGGCAAGGCTTCGGCTCAAGAGCGGATACGACTCGTTATTCCTTCATTCCTAGTTACCCTCGTTATCCATGCAACTGTGCACTACTGCCGATGTCGTTGTTGCGTTCCTCCGGACATGGCACATACCCAATGGAGGGTATCGAGAAAAACAGGTCAAGTCCAGAGTGCAATTTTCATCTCTTCTTTACCAATAATCACTCTACCTCCCTTCCCGCTTACAATCTAGTTTATAATAAATGAAATGGATAGACCTGTGCCTGCGTGGGACCTGTGGTCAGTTACACACGGACCAGATACGAGACGACTGGAAAGGAGTTCAGACGCAGCAACGCGTTAATTGGAGCGACGAAATTAAGTTCGCCAAGATAAAATTAAATCGGCTGGCCCACGATAGGGTAAGTTGGTGATTATTGGAGATCTTCGCACTGCAGTGGACATGAAAACAGGATAAGAATGGTGGTAGAAGAAGAAGCCTCCACGTTGCCCACTTCTGGTCACAGAGTTTCCTATAAACACAAGAGGGAACCATGGAAGCTGCAACGTACGACGCTTCAACCAGCACGGGAATTATGGGTAGCACACGGATTCACCTAATATTTGATAGTTCGGCTCAGTTTGGCTCCATGTGACCAGAATCGCT